TGAATATAGAATAGTTTTGTTTTATTGTTCTAATGACTTCCAAGTGGGCTTGTCTGATGTTTCTTATGAGTATATTTGGGTTATGCATTTTGGGCCTGGTTACATTCAGTGTCTGCATGCCTCTGTCTTCTTCACACATCTTATCAGGATGTACATGCTGTTGATTTGTGCCATTGTTAGTGTTTTAACTTTGGTGATTTGGTAAAGCTGTCATTTGTCCTGCTTTTTTTTTCTTTAAATTTTTATTGTGAAAATACCATTCAGAGGGGTTACAATTATGTGGGCAAGATAATGAGTACATTTCTTTTTTTTATTGTGAAAATACTATACAGAGAGGTTGCTTTTTTACAGCAAAATTACATTTTCTCTATAAAACCAATTTCGTGGGGAGAATGCCTTAGATGTTGATGTCAATACTCTGTTTCTTGACAAAATTTCACTCACTAGTTTTAACATTCATTGATGGTGGTGACATGAATTATTTATCATAAAATCATTTCTGGTTTTTGGCTGGTTAATGGAAGATGAATCTCACAGACTTATTGCCCAGGCTGTGAACTGTAATCCTCAGATTTCAGCCTCCTGAATAGCTAGGATTATAGGTGTAAGCCACCAGCACCCAGCTATAAGTAAACTTTTATTGAGCTATAGCTACATTTATTTTTTTAATATATTCTATGACTGCATTTGTACTACAAGAGCAATGTTGTGCATAAGAGATGGTATGGTCTACTATTTTTAAAATGTTTACTATCTGGCCCTTCAGGGAAATGTTGCTGACTCTTGGTTTACAGTATCAGAGAAGCCAGTCATAAAGATCTGGAAGAATCTCTGGGAAGAAGAGTCTGTTCTAGCAGATACTCTATATTTGGGGCAATTCCCACAACCTGATCTGTCCCCTTATTTACAAAACTCTGTCTTTATAGGATGACAGTGATTTTTTTTAAGTCAATCGCTCGTCATCTTCTTTGTCCATTCATCTTCATGACATGCATTGAACTAACACGGCCATTTCCATCTTTGCCCCAGAGCTTCGGAAATCTTGGAATCCCGACTGATTTCACCTCCCATGAGAGTGAGTGAGGATCAGAGGTTGCACCATGAGTAGAGATGCCTGTTACCTTGTTTTGCTGGGTGGCTGGGGTATTTCGCAATGGCCCAAAGAGCAGTTTACTGTGTTCTGTGACAATGAACCTCTTCCCCAAATTTGCCATCTGGTGTTTGAAGCCTGTACCTTACAAAGATTTGTTTCATTCGCTGATAGTCATTACTCATCTGCCTTTGGCTTTAGTGTTCCTGACATTCTCATTATTGCTCATCTGAAATAGCCCCAGTTTCAAGTAAGAAAGCACTTGGAGTTGTTTGCGTAACAGAAGGGTCTCTACTTTCTCATCGGGAAAATAAGGGGGTTTGGATGAGGAGGTCCTGCCAGCTGGAATCATGTATGGTTTTCTGATTCTATTTTTTTCTTCTTCCTTTTTTTGAAAATGCTAAAAAAAAAAAACAAAAACAGAAGGGCTATGGTTACATAAATCAGACAAACTTGCTGGGTTGTTTTGTTTGTTTATTTGTTGGTCTTGGGGCTTGAACTCTGGGCCTGAGTACTGTCCCTAACCCTCTTTATTCTCAAGGCTAGTGCTCTACCATTTGAGCCAGAGACACTTTTTATAATGGCTGTGAAAAGTCTCATGGCATTTCCTCCCTGTGCTGGCTTTGAACCGTGATCCTCAGACATCAGCCTCCTGAGTCTCTTGAGCCACCAGCGCCTGGCCAAACTTGCTTTTAATGACTTGTCTATGTGCTGGCCAAACCGATGGAGACCGAGACGGTAACCTAACGGCAGGAAGGCCTAGGGGCCTTGTCAGATGTGTTTGATGGCTAACGAGGGAATGAGTGAGGGAAGGACTTCATGAGCCCAGGCAATCTTGGATGGAATAGCTGTTGCTTCATGACGACGAAAACACCAAGCATACTGGATGATCGCTCCACATTCATCCTCCGGCATTTTTTTAAAAATCGATTTCCAAAAAGGAAATCTCGTGACTGACCCATGGCCTCGTGACCCTTCATTTGGTTTCCTACCATTCTATCATCTGGCATACCATGTATCAGAGCCCCAGCAGCAACGCTGGTGTTTTCAAACCTGCCAGGAACTTTCCTGCCATCCCCTCGAGTGCCCAGCATGCTCTGAAATACCCAGTTTGCTCCCAACTTCATGCATAGCTGGGCGTCAATATCATCTCCCCGAGGAAACCCCCCACCCCGCACCTTCCAGTCCATCCATTCACTTCTCATTCCCACTGCAGCAGTCTCTGCTAGATGCGATATATCTTACATTCACCTATAATGCTGCTCACGCATGCATGCAGGAAGTGTTTGATAAGTGTGTATATAAGAAAAGAGTAATATATCTGTGAAGTGCTTGATTTGTGAATGGAAGATCTCCACAATTTCAAGGCTATTTGCCGTCTGTAAGGTATCTTGTGGCTTTTGGCTTTTGTGTCTGTACTCCTTTAGCTCTTTCCTCCCTAACCCTGGGTACTTCTTTTATTGTGCCAATCCTGGAGCTTGTACTCAGGGCCCAAGTGCTGTTCTTGAGCTTTGATGCTCTACCACTTGAGCCACGACTCTACTTCTTGCCTTTTGGGAGTTCACTGAAGAAAAGATTCTCATGAATTTTCTTGCCTGGGTTGGCTTCAAATCATGATCCTCAGATTTCAGCTTCCTAAATAGCTGGGATTACAGGCGTGAGCCATTGGCACCAGCCTGGGTACTTAAATACAAGTTCTTTCCGAACATTGCTCACACTATGCCTCTCTTTGAAACCTCTCACTGAGGACACCCTCAGTCTCTCCATCTGAACCCAGTCTTACTTTCTTTATTACCTGCCACCATGTGCCTTAACTCCCCCATACAAGCCACATGTGCAGAGACTAGACTTTTGTTCTTCTCTTTGTATGTGTTTTTATATACATTTGAAGTGGAATTAAAACTATGGCTTTGGCCAGAATATGTATTTACAATATTTTTTAATCTTAAAATGTTGCAAAGATTGGGCTGTGAAGGTGGCTCAGTGGTATGCATGAGGCCCTGGGTTCAATTTCTCAGCACCACATAGCAGAAAAAGCCAGAAGTGGCACTGTGGCTCAAATGGTAGAGTGCTAGCCTTGAGCTGAAGAGCTGAGGGACAGCACCCAGGCCCAGAGTTCAGGCCCCAAAACTGACCAAATTTCTTTTGGTACAAAGATCAAAGCGGACTCATTCTCAACTTTTTCAATAAAGAGGTGATGACCAGTAATATTCCCAGCTTTTTCCATAAAGAAGTAATTATCATGTTAGGAGATGAAACTCCTCTGAACAACTCATGAAATGTTTAACAAAATGAATACCAGGAAATAGAAACTTTTGGGGGGGGAGAAAGTAAGAGGGAGATCCATAAATAGGAGAACATGTGAACAAATACAGTCATTATAATCAATGTACATTATGTAAAAATTGAACAGGACAGGGAGAGGAGGAGAAAGAATGGGAGAGAATTGTGGAAGGGATGACATTGTTCATAACCTGACTTATGGAGTTGTAATCTTTTGTGCAACTACTTAATAATTAAAAATGCATGCCCGTATGTCAAAGAGAAATTACCATTGTTAGTATTCAAACACACTGTCTCTTCAAAAATTCATTCATATGCACACATGTGTCAAACACACACCTACACCCCCTCCACACACATCATGCTCTTACTAAAAGTTTTATCATATCGTACATGCAGTACAGTAACCTACATTTTACTTTATTTTATTTTTGTAAAGGTGAGGTACAGAGGGGTTACAGTTATAAGTCAGGTTTTGAGTACATTTCTTTTGAACAGTGTCACCCTATCCCTTATTTTCTCTCAGTTTTTCCTTCTCTCCTCCCTTCCTCCCAAGTTGTATAGTCCATTTTTATCCTTTTCCTACCATTTCTGTTTCTCTGTCCCTTCCCCAAATCAGATAAACTTATACACAAGACAAAAAGTATAGAAATCAAATATGGCAGCAAAAGATGGGGGGAAACATAGAAAAAACCTGCAAAAAGTAAAATTTAAAAACTTCTACTTGGAGTTCATTTCAATAAGCATCATTTTATATGATCATTTGCACGTAGCTATTGAGCCCTTGTGATCCTCTCCTAAGAATATCCTTCTTTGGTCTCACTGTGTGAATAGTTTATAAATCAAATCTTTAACCTGGTACCAAGGGAAAAATTCCCATCAGTAAGTGTCTTTACTCTCTATTTTAATTCCTGCACTGTTTGTTCTATTTAACTAATCCCTTTCTGACTGACTTTGAGATTGTTTGCAATTTTCACTATTGGCTGTAGATGAGGAGCTCATTGAGGTTAGATGGGCTGAGAGATTTGGAGAGAGAAGATTTACAATCACTGTTGTGGACAAATTGGAATGCTGGAAAAGCATTCCTGATCTTTTTTTTTTTTTTACAAATATAATCCCCAAAGAATTTTGAAAAACCTCATAATATTTTTACCTTTAAAATCACTATGTATAATTGCTCATAAATTTAAAGATGTGGAAAACCTATTAATTCTGGAAAGTTAAGAGATCTACACATGTTAAAATTAAGCCATGGCATTTTTTTCAAATGGTGTGGATGGAATAACGGTGTAGTAATTTGATATCCTCTTTAAGTAGAACTGGGGCTCTATTTCCATCGCGTGTGTGTGTGTGTGTGTGTGTGTGTGTGTGTGTGATTAATTGAAAATAAGAGTCTCATGAACTTTGTTGCCCACATTAACTTCTCAGATCTCAGCCTCTTGAGTAGCTAGAATTATTGGCATGAGCCTTCTGCACTGGGTTCTTTCATCTATTTGAAAACAAAAAACATTAACTTGATCAAAATGTTCTATAGGGCCTTTTTCTTCTTGAGTACAGTCTCCTATTTGGTAAGAACAAATGACCAAGATTCATAAATTCATGATGCTTTTCTTGCTTTGTTTTAAAGATAGTGTTTTTAGAAGAAGCATCTCAACAAGAAAAACTGGCCCAAGAATGGTGCTTCAAGCCATGTGAAATAAGAGAACTGAGTCACCAGTAAGTCATTACCAACTTCTTCCTTCTTCTGGGTACCATTTAACTAGGTTCAAATGACTGGAAGCCTGCCTTGAGGAAGATAGTGAGGTGGGTTAAAGAAAGCCTGTTACTTAGCTTTTCCATGGGGGAGGTCAGTGGGAGAAGGTCAATTGAGAAGAGGCATCTGAAATAACCTTGGGGAAATAGAGGCTGCTATCATATCCGCCCTCCCCCCTCCCCCGCAGATAATTTGCCAAGTCTTTTCTATGCAGTGCTGGGATTGAGAAATGAAAAAGCCCATCAAGGTTGTGTCCCCATGCTGTTTGACTCCCCATGTATACAGGCACATAAGCATGACAGTGGAAGAAAGTGATATCTGCTAATAATAAGTGGGAGCGAATGAAGGAATGACAGATGATAAACTACAGGGTGCAGAGTCTGAGAAATGGTTACCCTGGTAGCAGCATTCGGGAAGTCCTGTGTCCAGAGGTCTTCCTGCAGACCAACTTGCAATTGGGTTGTGATAGTTTTGAATATATAGTTGTATGAAATGTGTTTTCTGTAGGAGACTCTTATCTTTAAAGCCTGGTTGCTTTGTTGTATACAAATAAGAGCACTTTACCTTAATCTCCAGTGTTTTATATTACTATAGGCAAACCGTCCTTCTAAAGTCCATAAAGTGAGACGGATTGCATTCTGAAAGCACTTTTCTAACTTGGAAACGGACCTCAGGAGAAGACAGGCAGAGGAGCACTCAGCGAGCCTTTAAAGCCCCTCGTTTGAATCCTCACGCTGCAGCTTTGCAGCAGCTCAGTGTGAAGCATTGTAAAATGCCATCTTGGAACTTCCCTCGGCCACGAAAGCTCATCTGTGGAGAGTCCAGAGACACGGTGGCTTGCTTGCAGCTCCTGGGCTCCTGTATGAGTCCAGAGACACGGTGGCTTGCTCGCAGCTCCGAGGCTCCTGTATGAGTCCAGAGACACAGTGGCTTGCTCGCAGCTCCGAGGCTCCTGTATGAGTCCAGAGACACGGTGGCTTGCTCGCAGCTCCTGGGCTCCTGTATGAGTCCAGAGACACGGTGGCTTGCTCGCAGCTCCTGGGCTCCTGTATGAGGCTCAGGGCTCCTGTTGTCTTCCCTCTCTTTGCAGTGTCCCTCAGTCACTTGGAAATATTTGAAGAATAAACGTGGATATTAATACAGAGACCTCGGGTCTCAGCAACCCTTTGCTGAATTTTTAAGCAGAGTTTATACTGAGGACCACGGGCACTTGGTCATCTGACATGCCTGTGTGATGAAAGTTGAGGAGAAGCCATGGAAGTGGATAAAATGGAGGTTGGGAGGAAATTAGAAGAGGGGAAATAGGTGGACTAATGGGCCAGGGGGTAGACATTTCTATGCTCCATAAATGGTCTCTTTATGAGTCTGATTTTTTTTATTTAGTTCCTCAAAAGATGCAGTTTCTGAGGATGGAGACGGGAGAAGAAATAGTTTAAATTTTGATGGAAGACATAATTCGAATTGTGAGGAACAACTGTATTTCTAATGCAAAGGCATGCTATCGAATACAAGTTATGTGCAGTTCAGTTTCTTGTAAGTTAACATGCAAATACCATAAGGCAGTGTCTCTGACAAGCTGGCTCAATATCTAATCTATCTGCAGATGTTTCTCAGCAGCTGGATGCAGATGATAGTGGCGGGTAAACTGAGCGTAATAAGGGCCTTGTGCTCTGATGGTAGAGCTTCTATTAATGTTTCCCATTGGTTAAAGGATGGATGGATGGATGGATGGATGGAGCTGTAACTCATGGGTAGAGTTTGTGCTTAGTATGTGTGATGCCTTGGACTTAATCCCCAACACCGAAAAAACTAAAAATAAAAACAAGTAAAAGACAAGTAGGTGTTGTGTGAAGTGTACACAGGACTGTGTATTGTTTCATTTTTGACTCCAGACACACACTGACTTCATCCCTCAAATTCTAGAAAATGAATCCTCCACCCATGTTCTCTGCAGTTTACCTGTTTAGACTCACGTGTTCAAAACCTTTGCCTAATTTTCCTTTGCTTCTAGAGATAATAAAAGATGAAGTTTTTTCTCTTATACCTTTCTGATCTTTTTCTGTCCTTGTCACCATAACCTTCACCCAGAAGCCAAATGCTTTTAAATCTATGGGGGATGAGTTTAGACACTTAATGGGCTCTGGTAAACCAGATGGTTCATGAGAATATTTTGTGTGTGTCTGGTAGTATGGGCCTGCCTTAGTTTGGAGTATAATGCTCCTGGAAAACGAGTTGATTGTGGTGCTGTGCACATATAATTCCAGCACCTGAGAGGAAGAAACAGAAGGATCACGTGTTCAAGACCAGTCTGGGCTCTGTAGAGTGACTCGGTGAAAAAGAAGAAAAGAAAAGAAAGGAAAAGAAAAGAAAAGAAAAGGAGGAAAGAAGGGAGAGATGGAGGGAGGGAAATGAGAAGTAGAAGGAAATAGGAGGAGGAGAGAGAGGGAGGAAGGGGGAAGCAAGGGGGAGGAAGGGGAAAAAGAGAGGAAGGAATGGGGGGAGGAATGGGTGGAAAGCAGGGGTGAGAAAGAGATTGAGAGAGGAAGGAAAGGGGAGGAGGGAGGAAGGCAGAAATAAAGGAACAAAAAGAGGGAAGAAGGGAGGAAGAACAAACGAATGGATGGTCATCTTCCCTTCTTCACTCCACCATCCACACAGAGGATTTGTGTTCCTCTCACGAAGCAGCCCACGCTCGCTCCTTTTCTTCTACGTTAGAGATCAGCTCGGCTCTCTGAGTGCTGAAGGAGAGGGCAGATACGTTTTGGCATGATCAAGAAGGGACTGATCCTAAAATTGCAGCTGCTGCATTGTCAGTCACCCATAGTGAATTGTGTTTATTCGCCTCTGTCTGCTTCTGGAAGTTTTGTAAGCCGCTCTTCCCTTTTGTCTTTATGAGAACAAAGTCATAGGATTCGTCATACTTTCCCTCCTGTCTCTGCCGGGCTGCCTGTTTCTACCTGCTTCTGAGCCTTTTCTTCTTCAACCGTCTCTGATTAACCCCACACCCTGCTGTTGTAACCTGGGCTCTATAACTCCTGGAAACAGTCTTCCATTCTTACACCCTGACCTCTTAATTATAGAGAAACTGAATTTGTTCCGTTGTATCAGTTACAATCCTGTGCAGGCTAAACAATGAAATCATTGTCAGGACAAATGTGATTTGTCGAGATACAGGAGGGACTGAAGTGTTATTAAATGCTTTCCATCTCCTCTTCATTTCCAGTGAGTTCTTCATGCCTGGGCTGGTTGACACACACATCCATGCCCCACAGTATTCCTTTGCTGGAAGCAATGTAGACCTGCCACTTTTGGAATGGTTGACCAACTACACCTTTCCTATGGAGCACAGGTTCCAAAATATTGACTTTGCTGAAGAAGTCTACACCAGAGTTGTTGTAAGTATGTTGAGTGTACTGTATTATGCTTCTATTTTATTTGAGGTGGGATATTGCTATGTAGCTCAGGCCTTGAACTAACAATCCTCCTGTTTCTGACTTCCTAATGCTGGAAATAGTCCTGCATTACCAAGCCCGACAAAATCCTCTCCTCTCCTCTCCTCTCTTCTCCTCTTCTCTCCTCTCCTCTCCTCTCCTCTCCTCTCCTCTCTTCTCCTCTCCCCTCCCCTCCCGTCCTCTCCTCTCCCCTCCCCTTCTCTCCTCTCCCTTCCCCTCCTCTCCTCCCTCCCCTCTCCTCCCTCCCCATTTCCTTCTCCCTCGCCATCTCCCTCTCCTCTCCTCTCCACCAAGAGTAGAACCCAGGGCTTCACATATGCTAGACACACACTCTACCCCTGATCCAGTTCCCTAGTTCTTTGCTCAATCACCTGTATAAACACAGTTTCTAAGACCAGATTGAAGTTACAAAGCATAAACAGTAAGACTCTTATGGCCCATGGATATTTTTAATTTTTTATACTGGTTCAAGGGCTTGAACTCAGCCTGAGAGCTGTTCCTGAGCATTTCTGTGCAAGGCTAGCACTCTATCCCTTGAGCCACAACTTCACTTCTGACTTTTGGGTGGTTCATTGGAGATCAGAGTATCACCGAGTTTTTCTTTCTAGTCTAGTTTCAAACCATGATCTTCATATTTCTTCCTCCTGAGTAACTAGGATTATAGGTGCAAGCTACCAGTAGATTCTTTCACAGTCCACCGAGTTTGTAACCACTTCACTGTAACAGGCAAAGAGAGAATTTGAATCTGAGTTCTTGTGTCCTCAACCTGGTGATCTGTACTTCCCTCACTTCTTGGGTTTTACATGATCAAATCCGAGTGCATATGTGAATTCCCTTCTTTCTGCCAATTCCTAAGGCTGCTCTGAGAACCATATGGAGTCGCTGTATGACCTGTGGAAAGTTCCGTGACTCACTTTACCCATCTGCAAAAGAAATAGACATAATGATTGTACCTGTTTTGTAGGATTGTTATAATTTAGCAAGTTAATATTTGAGAGGATCTTAAAATAGTGCCACGCACATGGTAAAGCTTCACCTATGTGTTTGTTTTATTAAGAATGCTCAAGGAAATTTCAAATTAAAATTTCAAATTCTCATTGGGTGGATATTGCATTATTTTGGTAGGTGTGCATGGGAAAAAAATAGTATGGTCTATATTGCAAGACCTGGTAGGAATGTGACTTGAATATTGACACCACTAGGGGGAGCTAGAGGGTTAGGTCACGGAATAGTGGTTAGCGGTGCGGACCCACTCCCCATCAAAGGCTCTTATACTCTTTCATGAAAAGCATTTTCTTTCTTTCTACTTCAACCCTGCACTCAGTTAGAAGTTAGGACTTCAAGTGCTGTTTTTTGTTAGTGCCAATACTGAGACTTAACCAGAGCTTAAACTCTGTCCTTAAACTTTTTCTGCTGAAGGCTGGCTCTCTTCCACTACAGCCACTACTCCACTCCTGGCTTTTTAGTGGTTCACTGGAAATAAGAGTCTCAGAGACTTTGTGCCTTGGGCTAGCTTCTAACCACGATCCTCAGATCTCAGCCTCCTGAGTCTCCAGGATTACAGGTGTGTACCACCAGCACCTGGATACAAATGCCTTTTTTATCTGACTACTGCCTATGTCTATACATGGCTGTGTTTTTGTTGGACCCACACACTGGTAGTTTCCCTCGTGTTTGGTGGTGACATCTTATAAAACTTCTACAGAGACTGACCTTGCCCACCATTTCCCCTGGTCATGAATCATTCCAGCCTAAAAGAAGGCTAGCATCTCTCCATTTGTCTTGCTTAATTATAAATTCAGTATAATCCTGGGTCTCACAGATTCACCATGCATCCACGTGACAGCAGACAAACTGAAGATGAAAGCTGTGTATGAAGTTGCTGGGGCATGGTGTCGATGAATTGTGTGAACCACACCAAATCTTTCTTCTCATCATTTATTTATACTTCACATTGTTCCAAAAATTGGACTTGAGATAGCTTCACATCTCGTAGTATACCACAAAAGAAAATGAGTCACCAAATTACAGCCAAGGAAGAAAGCCAAATGGAAACAGTAAAACCAAGAAGCCATGCACACGACAGGGGTTTGTTGTATCCATGCTTCTGTGAAGAGTGCGTCACAAATTTGGCTTCATTCAAAGAGGCAAATTGGATATAAGGCTCACACTGCACATGTGATTGTTAAAACCACATTTGTTGGGATAAATCCCATCTATTCCTCAACTTGGAATTTCAGAAAATCCATTCCAATATTATTTGGTGTGGATGGATGATATACCTATAGACCTGTCTATACATCTGTAAAGATGCTATAGTATAAAAAAAATATTCAAATGGATGGGTATGGTGGCTCATGTCAGTAATCCCAGCAATTGAGAGGCTGACGCAGGAGGATCACAGGTGTTTGAGGCCACTCTGGGTTACATAACAAGATCCCATCCAACTATCAAATTAGAGAGAGAGAATACCACAGAATATGTACATATGTATATCCATCATATACATATGTGTCTTTATGTATGTGTATCCTTCAGGCAATAACCACAAATACTTCTTACATGAGACACTTAGGGATTTGGTATCACTGTGTACAAAATCAGTTTCAGTCCTGACAAACGGGCAATGCACACGTTCTGCATCTTAGCAAGCCCATTACTGACTGGGCCAGGGAGGGTGCTGATGACACCTATTTAGTAAAGCTGAACTTTGCTCACTAGATCCCAACTCTAGGCTGAAGGTTACCTGTGGCAGTGCAGAGAGGGATAAAAGAAGTATCCATGAACCGAAGCAAGTGTTTTCTGTATTTTCTCTCCCAGAAAACAACCTTGCTCCATAGATTATGGCACTGATAGATTCACCTGTCAATGGTTACGTATAAATTAGCAAACATCTCCTAAGATTATGAAGGGAAAAAATGTCAGGAAACAAAACTTAGCATATTTCCTATCCGGTGCAAATGGAATGAATAACAGGTTGAAATTTCAAATCAGACTGAAATTAGTGAAGAAGACCAGAAAGTTCAAGTATTTTCCAAAATTATAGAGGATTAGAGCAAAAGGTCTTCCATGACTGTGTTAAGACAAAGTATGCAGATATTTTTCAGAAAAAGCCAGAAGTGGCGCTGTGACTCAAGCGGTAGAGTGCTAGCCTTGAGCAGAAGAAGCTCATCCCTATTTCCTCTATATTCTTCTATATAACAAGCCTAGAACCTTCATGTACTCTTTCCTGCTGTCATTTGAAATTTAATTATTTTTGTTTGAGTATCGGGGCTTGAACTCATAGTCTTATGCATTTTTGCTTATGCCTGGCACTCTACTTCTTGAGTCATACCTCCAGTTCTAGCTTTCTTCCCTCACTAATTCATTAGAGATGAGTCTTGTAAATTTGTCTTCCTGGTCTTCCTTCAAACTATGATCCTCAGATCTCATCCTCCTGAGTAGCTGGGATTACAGTGTGCCTACAGGCACTAGTCTAGCTCGTTTAAGTTAAAATTTAAATTTAAAAGTCATTTGAGGATGCATATTTAATATAATCCAACTCTAGTTTGTTACTCATTGATCTCTGCACTTCATTAGCAACGAGCTTTACTTTTACTTTTGCTACTCGGATCCCTGTTTCATTCATTGAGGTATAGTTTCTGACTGTAATTTCAAATAAGATGAGAGGTGAATGCACTAACCCTTTGGATCACCAAAATGGGTTCCATTTTGTTCTTATACTTAACCAAAGCTATAGCGGTCAGGAGAATTCTGTTTGAAATAATTTACCTGCCACCATCTACTGATCCTCATTCTTTCCTGGCTAATTTGCTGTTCTGCCATATTTTCTCTTCAATTCCTTCTATCAGACCACCTTATTGAGTGGTCTGACAGACATATATTTATGTCAATTCTTTTGATGAAATTCATCAAATTGTATACATATAATATTATTATAATTATTATATATTATGATATTAATATGCTATACTATTGTAATATTTATATAATGTATTGTACATATGTTATATGACATATAATATATTATGTAGTTATATATTATATTATATACTATGTATATATATGTAATATATACTTCCAAAAGTTTCTTCTTGCATTCTTCATTTTTTAATTTTTGTTTTGTGGTGAGAACCTTTAACAAGAAAGCTGCCTTTAAACAGAATCTGAAGTATTCAATGGTATCATTGGTTAACTCCAAGCACATGCTACTAAGATCTCCCGAACGGAATTCTCGTGTACAACTGAAGCTGTGCTCCTCTGGCCGGCTCCCTCCTCTCTTCCTCTCCCAGAGTCCTTGGGAGCCACCATTCTCTTCTTTGTTTCTGTGAGTCTGACTAATTTCTTCACAAAGTGGTATTGTGCAGCATTTGTCCTCTCCGGTCTGGCTTACTTTGCTTCAGATGGTTTCCTCATTGTGCGTGGCAGGATTCCTTTTCTTTTCAAGACTTGCTACCACTCCACAGTTGAACCACAGCTGCGTCATCGGTTGGCCCGTGAGCAGGTGTTCAGAGGGATGCTAAGCCTTGGCTGTCGAGAAGAAGGCTGCAGAGGACATGACCATGTAGATGTCTCTGCATAGATGCTCTGATGCAGGATGCTATGGTCAGGTGATCTTTGGACTTGAAATTTTTTTCTCAGAGTCTTGTGTACTGGTTTCTACAGCGACTTCACCAGTTTGTATCTTCAACAACAGTGTGCATTTCTTTTGCCAACACATGCTATTTTTTTTTCAAATTGTCGTTGGGGTTGACCTTGAACTTGAGATCCTCCTGTCTCTACCTCCCAAGTGCTAGAATTATAGATTGTGAGCCAGTATGATTAGGGATTTAATTTTGCAAGTTCTTTTTTCAATTAAGCATTCTTTCAAAGGAGGACTTTTTTATATTTTTTATTCTAAAGATACTGTACAGAGGGGTTACAGTTACATGAGTAAGGTAATGAGTCCATTTCCTATTGAGCAGTGTTACCTCCTCCTTTGTTTTCCCCCTACCATCCGTACCCTCCCCACCTCCCCAACTCCTCCCTCCCCACCTCCCCAACTCCTCCCTCCCCACATCCCCAACTCCTCCCTCCACACTCTGAAGTTCAAATGAGGACTTTCTTGTTCTTAGAAATGTATGTTTCTCTGTATCTGTCTCTCTGTTTACCTCCTTCCTTCTCTCTAGGGGGATATGTCACTCATTTAGTCAATTCTACCTCTAGTCAATTCTTCCTGTTCAAAACTGCTATTAAGACGATATTGACACGACTGAATTTAATTTAATTTCCCTGCACTTTTCTTTCTTGTCACATCTGAGACAATGTAATGGCCCAATTTTTCAAATCATTAATTCATTCTTCCTTAGGATAGTCTGTTTCTCGACAAGCACCGTTCTAGTCATCTAAGGCTAATTATCATTAGTTTGATGTGTACTCTGGCTTTCATAGTTCTGCTTCATTGACTGTAAATATTTACAAGGCACACACAGGATGCAGACACTTTTCTAGCTGCTGTAGATCACAATCATTGCCAGGGTGTTTGCTTGCCACCTGGATCTGTGCTTTCAAGTTCCAGTGATCTTACTGACAGGCAGGGATATTGTATTTCATGTGTCCAGTGTCATAAAATTTGGAAAGATTGATGGGGCCCAGTGGCTTATGCCTGTAATTCTAGCTACTCAGGAGGCTGAGGTCTGAGGATTGTGTTTGAAAGTCTGAGGATTGATTGGCAAAATGTCTGTGAGACGCTTATCTCCCATTAACCACCAGAAAACTAGAAGTGGTGCTGTGGTTCAAAGTGGTAGAGCGCTAGCCTTGAGAGAAAAAGCTCAGGGACAATGCCAGGCCCTGAGTTCAAGCCCCATGACTAATAAAAAGAAAAGAAAAAGAAAAGAAAAGAAAGAAAAGGAAAAGTGGATATATCAATCCAAAATTTTAAAGTCTCTTGGCCTCGGGACTAACTGATGTCACTGGAATCTCATTAAAATCCTTTCAAGCAGCTGATTAAAGCCAAACTCTTTTCTTGTCTGTTATCTTCAATCCTGTTTTGTTCCTGCGGACAATTGAACTTCTGCCTCCTGTTCTGGTCAAGGAAGTGACCTTAGCTCACAAAGGAGGAAACCAATGTAGAGAAAGTCAGGCACCTTTCTTAAAGTCACACAGATAATCACAAGCAAAACGCCAGCAAGAACTCAGTCTGGAAGGTTTTCTCCACATGGAGAAAAGTGTCTGAGGAAGCCCTGTCCATGCAGATCCGTGTTGATGGACAGGTGAACCCCATCCCAGGGCCAACTTTGGAGGCAGTGAAAGCAGCCTGCTCCCGGCCTTTCCTTTTCTCTAGGAAGGGAATGGTGGCCGCAATACCTCTGGGGATGAGGACTGCGGTGTCTGAAGATGAGCCATGTCTCCCCTAAGACTGTCATTCGCCTTGTGTTTTGGAGGGCTTGTGCCCTCTAGATGCTATCCAGATTCTACCAAGTCTCTCTCTTCCCTACAAGGGACAGGTTGGGGGCGGGCAAATTGAGTGATTTCAACAGGAAGGAGAAGGCTTCAACTATTTAATTATGTATGCACAGACCTTCAGCCAATCCTCTGCAAGCACACGCAATACTCCCCACCTCCCTTCCAAGTGGCTTCCATGTCTTACCCATGCTGTCTCTTGATTATCATCTAGGGGTATGTGGAAATGCTCCTGTCTTCTCTCATATTCTCAGAGGTTAATAAAATTTGTGTCCTTTTACTGTTATATTCATGGAAATTTAGTACAGAATAGAAGATAGATGCGTGTGATCCAAATGTATTTTGAACTGGAAGTCTAGCTGAATAATTTTACTCTGTAATAGAAAAAAATCTCATTTGTTATCATTTATGCACTCCCAGATGCAATAAGACTTGGAGATCCTTAAAGAATCATAAGAAGTAAGGAATTCATTAGTATCACAGTTTATGAATTCTGAAATAAGAACTGTTTATGAATCTAGGAGACCAAGTATCAGTGTCTCCTGAAGCTAACACTTCTGGAATATAAATACTTTGCCATTTACTTAAAGTAGGTTCCACATCCAGATGAGATACCTTTAAATAAATGCATTTTAAAATTAAAAGCTAGAATCCTATTTTCATTTGTCTAGGCCATGTGACTTTTCTGAGCACATGCGATTCTGGGTTTTTGTGATTTATTTTTAGAGGAGAACTCTAAAGAATGGAACAACCACAGCTTGTTACTTTGGAACAATTCACACTGACTCATCTCTGCTCCTTGCGGAAATTACAGGTGAGCAGATGAAAGCGGGGTTTATGGGTATATCAAGCAAAGAAAGCCAGACCATGCCAGCAACAACTGAAATTTGACGGGCAGCCCTGCCTTTTAATTGATCGAACCTTTGCCTGGCATTTTCTTTTTCTTGCAAACAGTTCTGTGTGTGTATAGCTCTCTGGCCCTTACATAATTTCATTCTTTCCGTATGGTTTCTGGTTCCTGAATGATGTATTTATTTGGGGGCTTTTTAGAAGTACATTTTTATCCATTCTAGTTGCGGCAGGAGTTTATTATATGATAATTATTGGCTGTTGGCTCCACACAGTAGATTTTGGGGGCTCCATGGAACAGAAAATAGTCTCATCTTTGAGAGTCAAACAGAATACTTACATAGATGAATAAATTTAGGAACATCTAGGTGCTGTTGCTAGGTATCAGAAATGGTACAAATCATCTACATGATCATCTCTAAACAGTCATCTGAGATAGTTATCCGTGTCCTCATAGTATAAATGGATGACCTGAACCTCTCTGAGGAGCAATAGGCTCAGCACTGCACAGGTAGCAAGCAGAGCTAAGACTTGTACCTAGCATAGCACTTCTCACAGAAGAGGTGCTTGGCAAATACCATGGCATGTGTACTTATCACGCTACTGATGGCCCAGAGAATTTATGCCCAAGACCTAAGGAATGATGCTAAAAAATAAATATTTCAGTTTTTAGAGACAAAGGAGACACAGGACTCCATCCTTTGGGAAGGCCTTTGAGCAGGGAGAGTCTGCAATGCCTCCTAGACAAAGGACATGAGGTGGACACAAATGATCTCTGTGGCCCAGGAAGCCGGGGATGCTTCTATGGACGAATGGGTGCTTGCGTGGCGGGATGGGGGAGGAGGCTTGGAGATGGTTCTAGTTGTGGAGGAGGTTGAATATGCATCCCAGAAGGCTTTGAGCCAAGTGAGTGACAGCCTAAAATTGACACTTCAAGGAAGATGAATCGAACGGCCAGGTATTAAAATAAACTGTAGGAGAGCAAGAGTGGCGGAGAGATTTGTGGAAGGTTTATGATGTCATCATATCCTGAAATCGAATTCTTCCAGCACTTCTGATGAAGACCAGGTTCCTTGGGGCTGAAAGCTTCCAGAAACATTCAGTGTAATTCCCCAAAGACAGTAATATTCCTATGGCTTCAGATAAGAGCAGTAGTGTCTTTCTGTTATTACTGTGAATACCCCTCATAAACCCACACATCATAGGAGACCCTGGAAACATACAGATGAGTCCTGAAACAAATCCTAAGCTGTCTGAGCATAATTAGAAGAACAAGGAATCAAATCTACTGTCAAAATCTCATACCCAAGTTCTTAATACATTATGATACTGTGTTTTATGTAGAAGAAATCATTATATATGTATTATATGTAATATTATATACATATATATATATATATTATAGAGCAAGAGAGATAAGAGAGAGAGAGAGACTCACTCCAAGGATGGTGGTTGAGTAAGAGGCAGGAGAAAAGTTGTGAGTTTGGACTCAGAGAAGGAAAGAGGAGAGGAAATAGTGTCAGCATAGAAAGATTGTTAAAGCATATCCTTAGGATTTGAGGCTGTTGTTCGCTTTACCATCTGATAAAATAAGAACAAATGTAATTATATCAGGAAAAAGATAGACAAACAGATAAGAAATGGAAAAACTGAACAAACATAAATCATCAAATCATTACCTAGGGATTTAGAATGAGCATAAGAACTTTTTTTCTGCAGGGGAGGGGTTTGTTTTGTTGTTCTTTGAGCTGTGTTGGATACTCATTTCTATTCTCATGATGTGTTTAACTTCTGAGTGATTCTAGAAAGCTCATGGAATATATTACTTGTGGGGGAAAAAGCATGCCTTCAGATTCTTGTTCGGTATGTCCTGCAGATAAGTTTGGTCAGCGGGCATTTGTTGGCAAAGTATGCATGGATTTGAATGACACAGTTCCAGAATACAAGGAGACCACCGAGGAATCGATTAAGGAGACAGAGAGGTAAATTGCCAGTCTTTTAGTGGGCATCTTCTGCTGCACTGATGGATGGGGTTTGCTATGGAGAGAGAAAACCCACATATAGTTCTGATCTATTTGAGATCTGCAAGTATCCTAAGCATGTCTACAAGTAGCCTGTAGTGAATCCTTTCAGACAGTTGATAATGCCTAATGGTTTACTAAATGCTTTCCTCTGTACTGAACCCCATGAGGCATCTCTCTTTTCTGGCAAGAACATCAATTCTGATTTTAGCCAAATGACTTGCCCACAGCAACTGCCTTAGTCACCCTACTCCCCCTCCCATCACTCTGATGAAATACCAGAGATAACCAAGTTGTAAAGGCTTCTTTGGGCTCCTGGTTGTGGAGTTTCTGCGCATGCCCCGGCGGCACAGGGCCTTTGAACCTTGGCGATGCAGTACATTGTGGCCCAACGGCTAACAGAGCAAGCCACTGACTTCACGAGCACAGAGCTGGACTCTGTCCTTGGAAATCAATGGTGATATTGTCAAAAAAAATCACAACCAGCCTCTACCTCTTTAGGGAAATAAGCTTCTATTCTGTGGGTTCACAGGACTTTAATGCTTCTAATATCTGTTTAACACAACCTATTGCATTTATTCCCCCCAATGGAGCTTAAGTTAGTTTCACAGCTTAGGTACATGGGGGATACTCTTCAAAAGCCCAGTCGATTTTGTACTCCATCTTTGGCAACAAATGAGAATGCAGAGTAATTACTACTTGTTAATCTTTAATTAGGGGTGGCGAAACACGGGCAGCTTTAGAAATGTTTGCGCAGAAATCAGGGCATGGAAGGATCCTATTTTCATCCTTTCCAAACATGCATCTGAAAAGTATTCATTATTCTGATGCCCCATCTGTTTCTTCATTTCAGATTTGTGTCAGAAATGCTTCAAAGAAATGTAAGTAAATTTGTTCCAGGTTTGCTCTGCGGATGTATTTTTGTTAGTCGTGGGATTTGTTATTAAGTGATTAGTCTGTGTGCCTTTGGCTTATTCCATGCATGAAAAAGTATTTTCCTAGAAGCTTAAAATGTTGTCATGGGGGAACAATCAAGCAGCCCAAGGAATCAATCATTCAAAAACAGCACGTGCGCGCGCGCGCACACACACGCACACACACACACACATACACACACACACATACACAGAGAGAGAGAGAAAGAAATATCTAACCCATGAAGACTGTAAATATTGTGTGATGATTTGATACACATATACATTCATATGCTTTTTAATAAAGATGACAATCAAATTAATTGAATTGGACAGAAGATCCCTGTGCCTATTCATCCTGTAGATGCGATAAACAACTTAAAAGGAGGAAGGGTTTATTTTAGCTCACAATTTTAGAGCTTTAAAGCCATGGCCACTTTACATGTGATGGTAAATGTGTGGAGCAGAAGAGAACTGCTTGCCATGTAGTGTCCAAGAAGCAAAGAAAGAGAAAGGCAGGAAGGAGCCAAGGACAAAATACACCCTTCAAGGGCACACTTGCAGCGACCTGTGACCTCCAACGAGACCCTCCCTCCCAAAGTTTCCACCTCCTCCCAATAAAGTCATCAGTGGAGAACTAGGCCTTCAACACATAAGCTTATGGTGCATATGTAAGGACCAAATCCCAGTGTCTGCCCCGCTGAGAGTCACCTTCTCAAGGCAGCTTTCCCATTCTTAGTCATTTTCCTCTTCGTCTTCTAGGACCTTTCAGTTTCACAGGATTGGTCTCTGGAGAGGAGAGGGCTTCCTCTTCTTCTTCCTAGACACAGGCAGGTGTGTGGAGACTGATCTGGAAAGCTTGGTGACATCTATTTTGGGGGCTGACTCACCATTGATTCTAGCCACTGCCCCTGCCTTATCTGGTCTGAAGCACAGTGATGTTCAGCCCGCATGCCTGGTCACTGACTACTGTGATCTATATAGATCTGACCTATCACATGACTGCCGGCATCTCTTCTACAGTGTTCTGGTGTTGGTGAGCCTCTATAGACAATGCTACATCCTACCTCCACCCTGGCAGGCTGGTGGATGCCTTAGACTGCCAAGCCTGAGCCTTGCTTTAACTCTTGTTTACAATCTGCTTGAAAGCCCACGGGGATGCTTAGAATTGTTTCTCCTCTGGGGAGAATTAGTTGAGACTTTGTAGCTCCATATTCTCAGCACTGGTCTGTGCGTCCTGCTCTCCTGCCCCATCATGCATTTCCAGTCATACCAGAGCCAGTCTTCCTGTGGTCAGCGCATCCACTCTTGATGTGGAGAAGGGAAGAAGACATCACCTCCCTCATGGCCTCCCCGGTGCTTTCTTTCTGCTTCCAATATGCGTCATAAGGTCAGGTGCTCTAGGCTTCTACTGAACATTAATGGAGGAAGGAAGAAGGGTAGGTCTTCTGCTAAACCTAGCAAGGAAGAACCTATTTTCATCCAGGAGCTAAATTCCATGAAACCTAGCACTTCTATTTACTACTTCGAATTAAGGAGAGTGCCCACCAAAAATTGAAGGGTGGCCTGGGAAGGTGGCTCAGTGGTAGAGTGCTTGCCTTGCATGCATGAGGCCCTGGGTTCGATTCCTCAGCACCACATAAGCAGAAAAAGCTGGAAGTGGTGCTGTGGCTCAAGTGGTAGAGTGCTAGCCTTGAGCTGAGGAGCTGAGGGACAGCACCTAGGCCCAGAGTTCAAGCCCCATGATCAACCAGGAAAAAAAAAAAACGGAAGGGTCTAAGTCGACTTTTTAGGTGATATGCAGTTGAGTATATGCCATCTGTTCATGTTACCCATGCAGGCCTTCCCAATTAAAAAATATGTTCACCTGTTTTCCATAGAGTTCTGTACCCTCCCCCCTCCGAAGATATACATGTAACTATACCAGAAGTAAAGAAAAAAGACAGAATCATCCAAAATAGACACTCAAAAGAGAGCGCTCTTGTTTCCATATCTTGGAGTTCATTTATATATATAATTTTATATAATTATAAAGAGTAGAGGAGCTCACTGGACACTGACGAAACTCATGGGTGGAGTTCTCTACTCTCTCCACCTCCTGAAGATATACCTGTAACTACACCATACATGAAGACAAAGAGACAGAATCATCAAAGCTAGAAATATAAAAGAGAGAGCCCTTGTTTCCATCTCTTGGAGTTCACTTATATATCTAATTTTATATAAATATAAAGAGCAGAGGAGCTCACCGGACCCCAATGAAAGTGAACTGTGCAACTTATGGGTAGAAATGCATGGAGGGACTGGGAAAGAGTGAGGGAATAGAAGACACTGTGAGAAAGGAAATGTGCTCATGACCTGACTCATGTAATTGTCATCCATAATAACAATAAACTAAATTAATTTTTACAAAGAGGGAGAAAATGGAGCTGGGCCCTAGAGGCTTACATTTGTTATCCTAGCTTCTCACAAGACTAAAATATATATTTTTCCAGTATTCTAGGGTGAAGCCCATAGTGACACCCCGTTTTTCCCTTTCCTGCTCTGAGACTTTGATGGGTGGACTTGGTAACATTGCAAAGACCCATGATCTACACATTCAGGTAGGTATTTTTCTTCTGCTCCTTCCTCTGTGCAGACCTGTAAGATTTCTCAGCATTCTAAATCATAGCCTCCAATCATGTCCAGTGTTCTGCTGAGATCTCATGTTTTAAAATCCTTTGGGGGGCAGGATATCTTTGTGATGTCACATAATCCAATTCTTTATTCTGTAGGAAAGAAATCGGAAGTTGCTTTTACCTGCAACATTGTGTGATCATTCTTAAAAGAGACTGACCTATCTGTATAAGTAATAGCAAGAGCAGGAGCAGAGGACCTGCATCCTGCTGAATACGTTTAAAGTACTTCTTCACTTTCAGTTGATACCTTCTTCTGTGTTCCATACATTTATTCTTAGAGGAACCAGCTATTATTTGAAAAAAATTTAAAAGTCTAATTTCGATGTTACAAAAATGCATTTAAAAGTCCTTTTGTTCTGAGTTTCTTAATTTGTGATCAGGAACCAAAAAAAAGTATATCTTACTTTATCATTAAGTTGTTGCAAGTTAGCAATAAAACACTAAAAAAAAATCTTACAACTGGCTTAAATTGGGAACTCCCTTCCTCTATCCAAGCTTAATTACATATTATATTAAAATTTCTCTTCTTGAGAGTTGATCATCTTAGAGAAAAAGGCAAGTCAGAGCAAAGGCAACATGCTGATTCTTTGTCATTTTGTTGAATGCTTTTATTTACTCACTTTTTTTAAAGATCTGATTTATTAGGCCCCATTAACTAGTCTTCCTATTATTATTTTTGTGGTAAATATCATTTGAATCTTGGATTCTATTTCACAGAATTATCTCATGATGATAAAATTCAAACTCCAATTGATATTTCTACTCTGAAAACAGAATGCTTCTTTTCTTCAAAATAAAACACAAATACTTTAAAATACATGAAAATTAAATTTAAAAAGTCATGCAATGTGAGTCTATTCCCAATAGACTTCCCAAAAGTCTATACCCTAATTATCAATAATCTGTACAGAATCGGTTGCTGGTGGCATGCACCTATAATCCTAGCTACTTAGGAGATTGAGATACTTGAGGATAGTGGTTCAAAGCCAGCCTGCATAAGAAAGTTGTGAGACTCCTATCTTCAGTTAACCACCAGAAAACAGGAACTGGAGCTGTAGTTCAAAGTGGTAGAGCACTAGTTTTAAACAAAAAGAGCTCAGGGACAGCACTCAGACCCTTAGTTCAAGCACCAGGACCACCACCAACAACAAATTACCTAAATGATATGAATTATGAATTCTCTGGTTGCCTTTCTTTGCCTTCTAGTTCTTGCGTTTTACCAATAGGCTGGGGTTTTCTTTTGTCAGGACTAGAGCTCCTTGTACAAGATTTAATACTAGTTTTTAGAGTGTTGCTACTTTTTCTTTTAGTTATTGCATTCTACTATGATAAAAGAGAAACTGCAATGCCATTCTTGAAGGTGTCTAATTGCTTAGGAATTATTTCTCATAATATATACTCATCACCAATTGGTCTGAAATGATTTTTGTTTTAGGCTAGGTGTTGGGGTGGTCACTCTTAAATATCCTGTCTCAAAAATACTTTATGTCCTCTCAGATATGGTGTTGCTGTAGAGAAAGACCGGGGTAGGGGCCTGAGACTCACTTGCTTTGCTTACATAGGCTTTCTTATGGGTTCTTGCTTCACAATGGCTATATTGTCCAGCTCAATCATTTCCAAACTGTTTTATGCAGATTCCATTCGGAAAACATACAAAAGAGACATACTGGAGACAGAGTGTGCATTCCAGTGATGTTTCATCCTGAAAGGAAACTTGTTTATGTCTTCTGTGGATTCGATTCCTGTGATTTTTCTCTTTCTTTCTTCTGGATTTACTTTTTTTTTTAATATCTTTAAGTAGTTGTGCAAAGGAGTTGCCATTTAATCAAGCCATTTATGAATACAGTGCATGTTGATCAATGTTACTCCTTTCAATATTCTTACCCATTCCTCCCAATCCACCCCTTCCTTAACGTTTCGTAATTTTGCAGGATATACATTGAATGTCTCATATATATATAGTTGTTGTTGTTGTTGGTTGTGGGGCTTGAACTCTGGGCCTGGGCACTGTCCCTCAGCTCTTCAGCTCAAGGCTAGTGCTCTACCACTTGAGCCACAGCGCCACTTCCGGTTTTCTGGTGGCTAAGTGGAGATAAGAGTCTCACAGGCATTCTTGCCCCATTTGGCTTTGAACTGCGATCCTCGGATCTCAGTCTCCTGAGTAGCTAGGTGTGAGTTACCAATGACCGGCTCTCTTAATATTTTTATTATCTTTAAGTAGTTGTACAAAAGAGTTGCCATTCGACAGAGCGCTTCATGTGTCTTGATCAAGCTCACTCCTTTCAGCCTTCGCAAGCACCTCTCAATCCCTCCTCCTTCCCTCAAGTTCCTTATTTTTGTAGGATAGACACTATATTTGTTACTGTATTCTCTCCCCCTTCTGTGAATTTTCTAATATGAAAAAAACCCATCAATAATACATTAGTAACTAAAAGAGTTTGGAAAAAATCACTCATCTAGCTGAAATCTTTCATTTGAGAGGTGAGAAAATGGAAGCTCAAAGAAAAGAATTAATTCCCTAAAACACACAACAAAGCTCAAAAGCTGGGCTCGAACTCAAATGTCTGCTCAAATTCCAGTTTTCTTGGGAGTGAACCTTGTTGACTGTCTTCTTAATAGGCACTGAACTCCCTTAAGTAACCAATGTCAGAAGACAGGTCTTCAGAAAATAACTAGGCTGTTGATTCTCTCTAAGAAGTACTTTATATCTATTCTTCCTTTAGGCTGAAATTTTAAAACTCTGCTGGAAAATTTTGTCTTGACATATTATACACATATACACCATCATGTTCATGATACTCAGTTTCTTTATCAAGTATATTATTACTTATATGCATATAATAACTTTGTTGTTTTTCTTACACTAAGAAGAATACATCAGCCACACTATTTTCCCACAGGAAGTACATGTTTTTCTAATATGTTGAAAAAAATGAGAATTTTTTTTTCTTGCAGAGCCATATTAGTGAAAATCGGGATGAAGTTGAAGCTGTGAAAAACTTACACCCCAATTATAAAAACTACACAGATATCTACGATAAAAACAATCTTCTGACAAATAAGGTAACTTCTCTATTACAATGTAATCTGTATAAAGTAGGTCATATCTGTCTCAATTTTATATTTTCAGTGGTAACCTTCAAATTTCTGTGGTGTGCATATATTTTCCAAACTAGAGTAAAGCCAAAGGATGTGGGGGGGAAAGAGGGAGGGAGGTAGTAGATTATGGAGTTTCATTCCCATCAATACATTTAAAGGCTTTTTTTTTTGAAAGTAGGAATGTCACTTGGTCCATTTTGACAGCATCGTTACTGTGTAAATGTACCTGCCTTTGAGTTAGAAGACCTAACCCTGAAAGAATGCACATACAGCCTTCCAAGGAAACATATGCAATGCTGTTGACCTAGAGGGGAGATGTATAGATATATTTTCACTTAGAAAACTCTAAGATGCACATACTGATTTTTTTTTCCGTCGGTTGTGGGGTCTGAACTCAGCCTGGGCGCTGTCCCTCAGATCTTCAGCTCAAGGCTAGCATTCTACTACTTGAGCCACAACGCCACTTCTGGCTTTTTCTGCTTATGTGGTGCTGAGGAATCGAACCCAGGGCCTCATGCATGCAAGGCACACACTCTACTACTGAGCCACCTTCCCAGCCCGACATACTGAATTTTTAAAATGACTCTTCTTGAGGGAGATAGAAGAGATTTCTACATTTTATTTTTAAGCTCGAGATTAAAGAAAATTAAAATGTATTACCTTTATAAGTAATTAAAAGTGACATGAATGATGAGAGATCTCATCATAATTATATCCTTTGGCCTTGGCCTTCAATGAAATGTACACACTGCTTGAGAGTTTATTGTAACAAGTAATTTCTCAGTGACTCTGAAAAGAGTTATAAAGTAGCTGTTTGGGAAAGTTACTACTCTGCATGAATCATGTATATGGTGCATCATAATTTCCATCATCCTTTGCATATATTTACATTTGATTAATAAATTAATCTTTAATTTGCATATTAATTTGATTTGCACAGGGATTAAGAAAGTTTTATTTTAATAAATACTTCTGTGGTCACTGAACCATGGCTCTGAAAGGAGAGAGCTACAGTGTTGTTTTCCTGAGGGAAGAGGAATGTTGAGAGAGTCAAGTCATATGGAAGACAATTATCGCCAGACTAAAGATTTATTCTGGGATCCATTTACCTTCTTGGTTCATGCTTTATTCCATTTCCTAGTTTATATTTCTATTTCCAAGTTTGTTTGGTGGATTGTATCCAGAACCACTGGTGCCCATATTAACACTGGGAGCTGAGATAATGCTTAGGTGCAGAATCATTTGCTTGGCTTCCATATACTGCTACAAAGCTCTGAGAAGAATAGAAGCAAGTATAGCTTCTGGTACAACTACTGTGAGTTCCATGCAAAAACGTAGTAAAGAAAGCAGCATGAAAATTTTCTAAAGTAGAGATGATACAATAGTATTTCCAAAAGGACTAATATTCTATGTCATCCTTGCCTGGAACCCGCCCTCATTATTTTATAGATCAAATGCAAAGGAGCGAAACTAAGATTCAAAGCTAGGGATAAAGCCAGGCAATGCAGTGTTTATTTAGTGTACAAGAGGCCCTGGATTTAACCCCAGTGCCTCAAAATAAATGAATAAAAGGAAGGAAAAGGAAGAAAGGAAGAAAGAAAGGAAGGAAGGAAGGAAGGAAAGAAGAAAGAAAGAAAGGCAAAAGACAAAGAAGAAAGAATATGACCAACACATTTGCTGAGAATCTTGAAATAAAATGCTTTCACAGTACTTTTTGTTTGTTGTTGTTGTTGTTGTTTTTTGGGTCCAGTCGTGGGGCTTGAACTCTGGGCCTGGGCGCTGTCCCTCAGCTCTTCAGCTCAAGGCTAGCGCTCTACCACTGGAGCCACAGCGCCACTTCCGGCTTTTCTATTTGCTTATGTGGTGCTGAGGAATCGAACCCAGGGCCTCAGGCATGCAAGGCAAGCGCTCTACCACTGAGCCACCTTCCCAGCCCTCCTTTTTGTTTTTGAGGTATAGAATTTGAACCCAGAGATGATGTTGTCCCTTTGGAGAATCCTAATTGTCTCTGTAAATATTGTTATGGTCAAGCCACAGCTCTGCCTCTCCTCATGACACCTGGTTGTGAATCTTACTGTAAGTAAGTGTCTGAGTGACAAACTCCATGTCTCACTGTCTTCTTTCCAGACGGTGATGGCGCATGCTTGCTATCTTTCTTCAGAAGAACTTACCGTATTCAGTGAACGAGGAGCCTCCATCTCACACTGTCCTAATTCTAATTTGTCGTAAGTAGGCAATGATGGTTTGGGAGATGATAGACTGTGTGCTGTGTTGACTACCGTCTGCTGTAGTTATATATTCTATCGGGACAGATAGTAGCTGGATGGCCCTTTTACTGTGCTACCTGAAAATCAGGGGGAAAAGGAATCAGAGCACTTACAAGAAGTCTTTTACAGAGTTTGCATCTGAAGAGCACTTTGTCTTCTGAAATCTCTGCGTCTGCACAGTAAAGGACAATAGCAAGTCCAACACATGGAGTTTACACCAGTAGTGCTCAGGATTTACAGCCAGCGACTGGAAGAAGGCCGAGGGCAGCCAGTGTTCCAGATGTTCCAGTTTGAAGAGACTGTAGTGCTGGTCAAAGCTGCTTGGTCTGTTGGGATGCCAGCTCATAAAGCAGAGCCTAGAAGGGACCTCTACCAATTATAATCCTACAGACTATAAAAGCATTATGGGTAACACTTGTTAACCTTTTGAAAGGTTATGGATTCATAAGTGAGTCAGAGAAGAATGATAACTTACATCCCTAGGGAAAGCCAGGAACAGGGGCAGTGGCTTAAGCCTGTAATCCCAGATGCTTTGGAGGCAGAGATTGGGAGGACCCCCATCCAAAGCCTGCTGAAGCAGAAATACAAGACCCTCTCCAAAACTAACAAATAGAAAAGGGCTAGTGAGTGGCTAGGGCATGTGAGAGAGCATTTCTCTAGCAATATGAAGCCTTGACTTCAAACTCCAGTACTGAAGGAAAGAAAAACCAACACAAAGTCCCTAGATGACATCTAATTGTAGGGACCTCATACATCCCATGATGCTAGTCCACAGATGCTAGATTAAAAAATCCCTGCTTGCACCAATAATTTATTTGGGAAATGACCTTCCAAAGTACCTTGATGGAAGAATAAGGCAGAAAAAGGGGAAAGCAATAAGGAATGGGTCATGGATCACTTTGTGGACTTGTCCAGTTTCATTCTTCACAAACCCAATCACAGAGCGATGGGGTAGATCTGAGCACTCAGCTGTGATGTGTGGAAAGCTGCTGGGGGAAGTGGGCGGATTAATTTCCTGGAACTTTCAACCTTCGCCAACTGGGGCAGAGCAGGTTCTCCTAGTGAGACCCTCTCCTCTCAGGCTGATTGGTGTCAGCAGCTGGGACTCTAGGACTTTGTGAATGGTGCAGGGGATGTCAGTAAGAGTACAGGGGGACCACTAGGCACACAGGTGGTATTTTGAAGTGCTTCTCAGAGCTCCAGAGGCTGTTAAATTGTCAAGCATAAAGAAGCCTCCCACGAAAGGAAATCATGTGACTTTAATGATAGTCTCGTGGACCTGTGAGAGAAGAATATTGCATCCCTTGGAAAAACCGTATAACATGCTCTAAGTTAAAAGGCAATCCAAATTGATGTTTGCAGCTCCATTTCATACTCGGTTAAATGGTATTTTCCAACAACTTCAAGGAGGTTATCATGTGTGCACTGTGGAAATTGTCGTTGTTCACGTGTAAATCTTTCAGCAGAGCCGCTTTGACCTTAGTATTGCCTTGGGTTTCTAAGAATGTCCTTCAGTTTCCTTTGTCTTTTGAGAATGATGGTTCATCTTTATAAACAGGTTAACAAGAGAAATAAATAGAGTTTAAGTAAATTGGTAAATTGATCAAACAATCAAAGATGTATGTGTAGTGCACACAAAAGCCTTAGGTGAAGATAGAATGCTATATGTTTTTTATGCATTGATTTCACAACTTTGTAGACATTTGATTGGGCAAAGGGATTTGATCTAATGCTGAGATCAAACTTCAGTTGAGTGAGAAAACCCAGAAAGGCCTGATATTTAGATGTTTGGTTTTGGGTTTTGTTTTGTTTCCTAATTTCTCTGTGTAGAGTTTTTTCCTGCCTGGTGTGTAGTATGTCCTTTTTTGTTATCTTAGGACCTATTATGACAAAGAATTTCTGTAAGACAGAAAGACAGGGTAAGATGAGAATAATAATTCTAGGACTAATAGCTTGCTTTGTGGAAAAGTGGTTATAGTTTTTATGACTTGCTTTGGGAAAGAGAAGTTTGGTGGGGGCAGAGAGTGATAACTTTGGTGCTGGGAATTGAACCCCTAACCTCATGCATGCTAAGCAAAAGCGCTACTTCTGAAGAGTAGCTCTCTCTTACCTTGAGATATACTAGCTCTGTCACTCATCTTACAGAGGATAAAGGAGCAGGATGTAAGAAGAAAGGAGAAAGTGAGAATGAAGTTGATTCTTGACATTGTTCTCTGAAGTCCAAAGCACAATACTTAGGGTATTCATCTCTGAGCCTTAATACAAATCACTGCTCATTCAGGTTAGCAAGTTGACCTAAATATAGGAAGAGGCCAAGATTTTATCATTCCGACTTTGTAATACAGAAAGGTGGTTTGGCAAAAAAAAATATTTGAGACAGAGAAGGCTTATGGACTAATTATAAGGTTTGATTTGTTTATCCTTTTTTTTTGTTTTCATACAAATGATCCTCTATTTTTTCCTTCTGGTTCTTGCTACTTTATATGTTCCTGACAGGAAGCTGGGCCCAAGGATTAAACCCTTTTATAGTCCTTTCTACTAGCATTTGGCCGTTCTGGTTTGACTCAAGTGTTTGTGTAGGCATTAGAGTCGATGGAAGAGTACACTCGATTTTCAGTGATAACATAATCAGGATGATCAGTGGCCTGTTGGTAGAAGCTCATGGATCTCCTCTGAGTGACAGTTTCTCTCTTTTCTCTCTCTACAGGCTGAGCAGTGGCTTGCTGAATGTTCTAGAAGTCCTGAAACACAAAGTGAAGATAGGGCTGGGAACAGGTTAGTAATTCACCCTTCGACTTTATGGCAAAGTGGTCAACCAATGAAGGAACAGCTAGCTGTCTAATAGGACTAATTTGCAGGCAGCAGTCCTGTGCTGGGAAATAGTAACTTCAGTAAGACACTGGTAGCTCACACCTGTAATCCTAGCTACCCAAAGGCTGAGATCTGAGGATTGCGGTTCAAAGCCAGCCTGGGCAGGAAAGTCTGTGAGACTCTAATCTCCAGTTAGCCAGCAGAAAGCTGGAAATGGAGGTGTGGTATCAGTGGTCGAGGGCCAGCCTTTAGTAAAAAGGCCACGTGAGAGCATGAAGCCCCAAGTTCAAGGCCCAGTACCTGCACACAAAGAAGAACTCAAACAATAACAAAGAAATACTAATTCTGTTATCCGGTAGTGACATCTTCATAAGTGTCTTACCAAATAAGAAAGGCTGGAATGGATATATGCAAAGGTTGACCATACTCATCTATAAAACTCACTATCCCTGTTTGATGTTAGCATTTGCGCTGTGAATGATAATTCCTTCTCCAATGTTGTACAGGCTTGTGGTTTTGGTTTTGGTTTTATTTTTGTTGTTGTTTTTAAGTTTTTGAGTTTTTTCCTCTCCCTTTTATTTCATCCTTCTAGCTAAGTTTTAATGATTTGGATTTGTACTCACGTTTTGTGATTTGGATTCGAATTTTTCAATGATTTTGTCAACACAAACACATCTCAAAAGAAAGTCCATTTGACTTTGCCATGTAAGGTACAGTTTCGTCTGTGCCAGCACTGAGAATTCTCAGGTATGGCAAGAACCAGTTCTGCTTTTAAACAGTTTGGCCAAAAGCGTGCTGACTTCCCACAGGCCAGCTGACGTGGACCAAGCTGAAGGACATCCCGGTGGATGCTTGATTAGCAGTCCCTGCCTTCTCCCCGGGCATTTAAATTGTTCACTGAAAGTGACAATTAGGCCCAAATACCAGGAATCTTCATAGCCTGTGTCACTGGGTCTAATCAAACAAAAGTTTATGTTAAAAGTGGAGGGAAAGGAGTCTTACAGAGCCTAAAGACTCATTTTCTACTTTTTTAAATTTTGTTTCTATCATCCTGAAAAGTCTTATACAAGTGGAGTACCATTGATATTTCTATATGTGGAATATGTTGTCTAATATTTAAATCAGAGTAAGCATATCTAGCTCTTCAAACATCTCTATTTAGTGGTGGTAAGCATATCAATAGTTTTCTTCTAGATGCTTTGAAACATATAGTACAGTTCAGTATCACTAATTGTAGTCAATGTATTATGCAATAATATACCAGGACTTTTTCCTCTGCATAACTAAACTTACTATCTTGTCACTAACCTTTTCCCAGCTCTCTCTTTCTCCTCTTTTCTCCAGTCTCTGGTAGTAACCACCTTTATATGTTCAACTTCTATGAAATCAGCCATCTTTCCTAGAGTCCACATATGACTGAGCTCGTGTGATGATTTTATTTTTTGTTCTTGATGTATTTGTCATCCTGATATTTTAAAGCCTCAAGCTATAGTACATGTTGATACTCCGGGGTTGTTGGGTTTTTATTCATTGTTTTCTGCAACAGCTCAAATCTCAGTTTGTCATAATGAGACACTTTATATTAATCAATGAATTGGTAAAACACATAAATATGTACATGATTATATATATACATATATATATTTACAAGTGATATATTAGATGACAGGCTTTTTACCAGTTTTTTACACAATTAAAGTATTTATTTTTGCTAGTTTAGATTTTTTGTACATTTTTATTGTAAAAATACTGTACAGAGGGGTTACCGTTACATGAGCAAGGTAATGAGTACATTTCCTATCAACCATTGTTGCCTCCTCCTTTGTTTTTCCCGTACCATCCCTTCCCTCCCACCTCCACAACTTACCGCCCCCACCCCCAGCCAAAGTTGTAAAGTTTGTTTTCAACATAGTGTCTTGTATAGCTCATTGTTACAATGGGTTTTAATTGTTTAATTCCAGCCTTAAATTGTGGACATTTCCCAGCATATGGAAATAAGATTTTAGTTATTTTTACCTTTACAGGAAAACCTTAATGGCTGAAAAACCTTAATGACTCCAAAGAGTCCACTGCAGATAGTTAATAAGAAAAATATAGCAAATATACCAAACTTTCATAGGTTTTTCTTCTAGCTTCTCTTACGATTTGGTTCCCAGGATTTAACATTCATCACATGACTCCACTTCTTGACCTTGAGCTATACAGCTCTGGCCTAGAAAATATAGGGAAAGCCTTTGCTGTCATGTATGAGATCTAACAGCTTAAGCAAATTGCTCTAGTATCTTAGATAAGGACTTACTTCATGACTTCTACAGCAATAATAACAATAGCACTTGTAGCAATATCTATCTGATGAGCTTGTTTTGAACGTTAAAAGGAAAAAAAAAAACACATGCACAGTGGTTGATACCACACCTGACACATATCATTGGTCAATCAAGATTCACTGAAAGAGGAAGGAGCAATGCTATTTATTGCCCAGATGTTTGCTTAAGTTTGACTCATTCGCTCATTAACCTGGGGAATGCTATTTCCTTATGGTTTTGTATAGCCACCTTGTATTCCATTATTTTCTAAATATGAGGTTTATGTCTCAGCTTCTCCTAATACTTTTGAGAAGATATTTAACCTCATACTATGGGAAATCCTCTCCTGCAGTGGACTGAAATAAAGGAGCATGTTATGGCAAGATAATTAAATCCAGGATAGTTTAATTATGAGAAAAGCCAATTCCTGAAGCATTGATGCAAGGGAAAAAAATCAGTTGTCAACCAAATGATTAAATGCCAGTTTTCTTTCAGATGCTTTTGTTGGTATATACAATACCAAAGGCAAGGCAGAGTTTGGAGGCAAAACCATAATTAGTCCACAATACTATGTCTAGCCAAACTTTCCCTCATGTTTGAAGGAAGCAAAACTCTCCGCTATGTGAGGGCTTAGAAATTATTCTTGTCAGAACCCTTTGGAAAAAATTGAAAAATGCAGCCGGGCGCTGGTGGCTCACACCTGTAATCCTAGCTACTCAGGAGGCTGAGGATCGCTGTTCAAAGCCAGCCCGGGCAGGAAAGACCGTGAGACTCGTATCTCCAATAAACCACCAGAAAACCGGAAGTGGTGCTATAGCTCAAGTGGTAGAGCGCTCACCTTGAGCTGGAGAGCTGAGGGACAGCGCCCAGGACCAGAGTTCAAGCCCCACGACTGACAAAAAAAAAATTGAAAAATGCTGTCATCTAGAGAGAGGAAAGGGCCATTGTATAGGGAATCAATAGTGCAAAAGCTGTAATTGTCAAATAAGCCAGACACCAAGAGACAACTATTGTTTATCTCATATGTGGCAACTAAACAAATGAATAAATAAACGAATATGACCTGGAAGAAGAGAGATTTTTGGAGTCTGGGAAGGGACCTGGAGGATGGAATAAAAGGAAGAGGAAAAGAGAAGGGAGAGGGACATGATCGAAGCTTGATATATGTGTGCATGGAAATGCCACAGAGAAACTCGTTGCTTTGTAAAGTTAATAGGTGCTAATAACAATAATAGTAGTAGAAAGGACAACATGGACTACACACTTCTGCTTAGTATTGGGAATAGTGAGAATGTGGGTTAGGGAATCTGGAAAAGTGTTATTGCTCTAAAAAAAAAAGTACGGTGCACATAGGTTGATCATCTCTGTGTTGACGATTTTAATTGCAATGTTTTTCTGTCAGAGACCTTGTGATTGATTCCTCCATTTTAGATTTCTCCCCCCCTCCCTCCCTTCCTCTTCCTCTTCCTTCCTTTTTCCCTTCCTTCCTTTTCTTTTTCCTTCCTTCTTTGCTTTCTTCCTTTCTTCTTTTTTTGTTTTCTTTCTTTTTTTCTTGCATTTCTCTTTTGCTTATAGATCTCTGTTACCTGTCAAAGTGATATAACCATGGACATATGGAATCAAATAAATATATTATTGAAAATTTTTAAAATGATAAGAGGGTGAGATTTGACATCAGGGTTCAGAGCCAGCCCAAATGACTCTGTTAGCTCTTGACTCCAATGAACCTGCAAAAAAACCTGGAAGTAGCTGGGCGCCGATGGCTCACACCTGTAATCCTAGCTACTTAGGAGGCCGATGGCTCACACCTGTAATCCTAGCTACTTAGGAGGCCGATGGCTCACACCTGTAATCCTAGCTACTTAGGAGGCTGAGATCTGAGAATCATGGTTCAAAGCCAGCCTGGGCAGGAAAATCTATGAGACTCGTCTCCAATAAACCACTCAGAAAACTGGAAGTGGTGCTGTGGCTCAAGTGGTAGAGCACTAGCCTTGAGCTGAAAAGCTCAGGGACAGAGCCCAAGCCCAGAATTCAAGACACATGACCGACAAAAAAAAACAAACAAACCTGGAAGTGAAAGTATAGCTCAAGTGGTAGAGCACCAACTGTGAGCGGAAAAAACTGAGTGAGTGAGGCCCTGAGTTCAAGTGCCAGAATTAGAACAAAGAGAAAGAAAGAAAGAAAAGGGCGCTATGTACATTAATAAAGCTCTGAGATAAATTATTTTAAATATTAAATTATCTTTGAAAATGAAAGCAAAAGCCAAAAATATACTTCAAGAGAAAATATATACTAATTTTTACTGTGTTACTATATGTAACATTTTCTTTATTTAAGAAGGAAACACTGGAGTAAATTCTCAAAGTTTAATCTATATTATTCCCCAAATGTTTTCATTTTCTTAGTTTGATGCTATGATTAAAATTAATGTTTATTTTCAAACATTGCACATAATATTTTTAATACTCTTAAGAAAAACCTATTTCCTCCATTTTTTACAGATAAGCCAACTGAGACTCAAAGAGATTGTTGGCTTCTCAATTATTCTGTAACTAAGGAAGTTAAACAGCCATTACTCAAACTCATGTCTATTTGGTCTGAATCATTATTCAATGCCAAATAAGACTATAACCCAACAATCCCACTTCTGGGCATTTACCCGAACGATCACAAACAAGACCATACTAAAGCTACCAGCACAACTATGTTTATTGTAGCATTATTTACCATAGCCAAGGCATGGAACCAACCCAGATGCCCCTCAGTAGGTGAATGGATCAAGAAAATGTGGTTTATATACACAATGGAATTCTATGCCTCCATCAGAAAGAATGACATTGCCCCATTTGTTAGGAAATGGAGGCTTGGAAAAAATTATATTAAATGAAGTAAATCAGGCCCAAAGAAACATAGGTCCCATGGTTTCCCTTATCTGCAATAAGTAGTATATGTCTGAGACAAGCAGAAACGGTCAGATAAGTTGATGTTAGGTGAAATGAGCCCCAAGATAAGGACTCAAATTGTTTTTCTTTCTTGCTATTGTTTCTAATATATTTATAAAATATTTCTTTGTTGCTTTGTATGTCCCTCCCCCACAGTATAACCCCTGTTTTCACTGTATTTGATGTTGGTGTAATTTGTGGAGGGGAAGGGAAAAAAAAAACAAATTGTTTAAATAGGGATACAAGTGAACCCATTGCAATAATGAGATGTACAAGACGTTACATTGAAAAATGAACTTTACAACTTCGGCAAGGGGCGGTAAGGGGAAACAAAGGAGGAGGCAACAATGTTTGATAAGAAATGTACTGATTACCTTACTCATGTAATTGTAACCCCTCTGTACAGTATTTTCACAATAAAAGAACTTATTAATTAATAAAAGACTTCCCTGCAGTGAGTGAAAACAGGAAAAATTAAAAATAAACAAAAATAATTAAAAAACAATTTAAAGTTCCAAAACAATTCAACTTATACTGTGGACAAGGAATTGGAACAATTTTTTTAAGAAAAATGTTTTTGAAGAAGTAGCAGCTTCAACTTTAAAAGTCAGCTTAAAGCAGTAAATAACTTACAAAAATGGCCACATATTAGAATTATCTTTTGCTTTTTAATGATGCAGATTTTGATGTAAAACATTCAATTAGGGCTGGGAAGGTGGTTCAGTGGTAGAGTGCTTGCCTCACATGCATGAGGCCCTGGGTTCAATTCCTCAGCACCACATATGCAGAAAAAAGCCAGAAGTGGTGCTTTGGCTCAAGTGGTAGAGCGCTAGCCTTGTGCTGAAGAGCTGAGGGACAGCGCCCGGGCCCAGGGTTCAGCCCTCATGACCGACAAAAAAAAAAGAGGTTCAGTTAGATAGAAGAAAGTTCAAAAGAGCTATTGTATATCACCATGCCTATAATTAATAACAATGTTCCATACTTGAAAAATGCTAAGAGCAGATTTTAAATGTTTTACTGTAGTTTTTAAGTATGCAAAATAATGCATATGATAATTGCCTGATTTAATTTCCTCACAATGTATCCATATATCAAAATGTCACACAAAGTGCACTGACAGAGTACTTGCCTAGCACGCATGAAGCCCTAAATGTAATCCCAGCCCTGAAAAACAAAATGAAAATACCACAGTGTAACTTATAAATACATGCAAGTATTACCCACTTTGGGGGAGGGGTGGGGGGCAGAGGCAGCACCAGTACTGAGTCTTGAATTTGGGTCCTGAGCCCTGTCTCTTACCTTTTTTGCTCAAGGCAAAATTACTGAGCTTTTTGCTGGTTAACTGAGATAAGAGTCTTTCAGACTTTCTTGCCTGGCTGGCTTTGAACTACGATGATCCTCCTGAGTAGCTAGGAGTGAGCCCCCAGCACCTGGCTTCTACTTATTTTAAAACAAAACAAAAATTTAAAAAGGTTAAGCTCCTAAAGTTATGCTTTGTTGCCTCTAATTCAGCAACTTCACAAAGGGACCCGAAAAGATTATCTATAAAAAAGATAGATTCCAAGATAAATTTGGCAAATCATCAGATCTGAGAGCTTACTTTGAAGTGGAGACACCTTGTGAATGTAAAAGCATCCCAAATTCCAGTTCTCAGTCAGATACTAGCTAGAAAGCAAGTTACCTTGTCAGAGTGACATGGTCACTGGACCTTGTTGCTTTTGTCTCTCAAATGGAATTAATCGTAGTAAATTTCTTATAGTATTGTATTAAAGATTAAATAAATCAGCAAATTAACTAAACCAAACATATTTGATTAAATAAATCAGACTGATTCTCAACATTGAATAACCATTGAGTACTTCTTTGGGACCACTAGGTATTTGGCATGAATTCTTTAAAAATCGATTTATTCTTTTTAATTAACATGTAGTAATTATATTATTATATATAATGGAGTAATGTGGATAATGAATGGATAATTACTATTGATACAAACTAATAGCTTAAGTAGATGCAATGAAAGTTTTCAGAAAATCTTTTTTTTTTTTTTTTAGTTTTCAGAAAATCTAATGAGCCTCTGGCAATAAGAAATCAAAAGTAAATAGCAAAGAAAAGCATTTTCTTTAAGAAAGAATCATACAAGTTTACCTAAGGACATGTAACATAGCTGAACATACAATTAAGCTATAATCTTTATTGTATGCAATTATTTTTTATCTTTGTATTATATATGTCTAACAATTATGTCTACCCAGAAATTAGTGAGCATGTAAAAAGCTATAAATATACATATATAAATTATATTAAATATATATTAGCTATAAACATTTGCTTTAATAAAATAAGTTCACTTACTTGACATTTATACAAACTCATTATATAACTACAACATTTGTTTTTGCCAAAAGTAGTATTTCAATTTAATTATGATTATGGATTTTATTTAAATTATTCAAAGTTTTATTTCTCATTTAATGATGCCAACCATTGCTTATGTTGCTAACTTCCCCAAACATATGTTCATTCTGCAAAATTATCATGAAAAATATCTTTTAATTTTCTAAAATCTCCTTGTGGATTAGATCAGGTTCTTAGAATGTAGAACTCGGAGCTTTTTTTCTCTTCTTTTATTGTTATTATAAAGGTAATGTACAGAGGGGTTCCAGTTACATGTCAGGTAATGCGTACATTTCTTTTTGAACAGTGTCACCTCTTCCCTCATTGTCTCCCATTCCCTTCCCTCCCGAGTCCCCTCCCCCACAGGTTGAGTAGTACATGTTCAACATAGTGTCTAGTGAGTATCACTGCTGCATGCTTCACCCACTGTTTCTGTGCTTTCCCTCTTCCCCTCCCCCCAAACACATAAACTTACATACAAGACAAAAGGTAAAAGTGACAAAAGATTAAAAAAAATCAAAAAGCAAAATAACATAAAATCTTGTTTCCATTTCTTGGAGTTCATTTAGATAAACATCATTTTATATGATCATATGGCTATAGCGAGTGAATCTTTGTGAATCCTCTCCTAAGAATATCTTCTTTGATCTCACTGTGTGAAGGTCTACAGTCCTGTATAATTGATCAGATCTATGAGCTTAAGTCACATAAAACATCGAAATTTTCTCCACAACTATATAGTCATCTCTGAATGCTTTCTGTGAGAGCTCAATGAACACTCAGAGATTCTTCTCTTCATTTTGTTAACCATTTGGGTATTCTAGGGGGTGGAACTGAGACCTTCAAAAGATATTTACCAGACTCTGAAACTGGGGTCTCATTTGGAGTAAAGATCTTGTAGATATAATTAAGGTAAGGATCAAGATGAAATCATTCTGAAATAAGGAAGATCCTAAACCCAATAACCAATGTCCTTGTAAGAGACAAAAAAGGGAAGACGCATTTAGACACAGGGAAGAGGCTCTTTGAAGATGGAAGCAGAGGCTGGAGTTCCACTGCCTCAAGCCTAGAAGACAAAGAAAGACTTGGCCCTTGAGCTTGTGTAGAAACAGTGAGCTTGACAGTGTTTTTATTTCAGATTTCTGACCTCCAAAACTGAAGCAAAGAAGAGATTTCTGTTGACAATATTTGTGATAATTTGGTGTAATGACCCTAGAAAACGGTGTGTGTGTGTGTGTGTGTGTGTGTGTGTGTGTGTGTGTGTGTGTGTGTTTGACACTAATGATGGGCTTTAATTCATTTAAATGTTTGTTTGGTTTGTAGCTACCCTATGTTTATATATATAAGCTCTTCTCTATATAGATTAAAGATGATCTGTCTGACACTAAAAACAACAAAACTAACCTTACTGTCCTTACCTGTTATTTATTTATGCATAAAGTTACTCTTGGGCTTTATTTTACCTACTGTAGATGTGGCTGGTGGTTATTCTTACTCCATGCTTGATGCAATCAGAAGAGCAGTGATGGTTTCCAATATCCTTTTAATTAATAAGGTAAATGAGAAAGGCCTCACAGTCAAAGAAGTCTTCAGACTAGCTACTCTTGGAGGAAGCCAAGGTAATGACTTTATTTCCCTCTTACAAAATGTACAATCATGCTGATCTGTGTCCCTGGTAGAGTCAGGGGGATCTCATGTTTATGACTATCATGTCTCTTATGACACCCTCAAATTTTATCCAGAAAAGCCTGTGTTCCATTATGTGGTCACAGAATCATTTTTTCAGTGAATTGACTGTCGATCCCTGATTATACATGATTGTCATAGTCATACGTGATACATGATTATCATCTCCTCAATGGATATTTACATTAGTCACATGCAGATGAATTCTTTAAAAATGTATCCATTCATCCATTGTATCAGATACATGCTCTCTCTCAGCCTGTGTGATAATCTTAATAGTGCAAAAGATAATTATGCCTACTGAGCTCTTATTATGTGAAAAGGTACCAGGTAATGCACTATGTTCAAGTCCTTACTGGAGCCTCAAAACCAATTATTTATTTCACAGAGAAGCTAAATGAGGTCTACATATCAATTAAGATACAATGTGCCAAGATTTGAATCAAGAAAATCTAATGCTAAGATGAATACTCCTACCTAACACCCCCTCCACTGTGTTAACCTATGCAAGTCTCTAGGTAGCCTCTGTGTTTGGTTTATGAATATATGGATAATAATCGCCAAAGTCTCTTTAAAGGGAAAAAGACGTAAAATTATAATTAGTTGATTTGCAAATATTGCTCATCAGCTTTCCTTAATTCTCAAGCTTAGCTGCATTTTTATGTGAAAAAATGGAAACTATAACCATTCTGCCTTAAGTTCTATTGAACATATAGTGCCTTTTTTGACAGTGAAATTACCATAAAATCAAAAGTAGCTCATGAGAAATCAAAATATGTAGACACGGATAAATGTAGAATTGTAAGGTAGAAATAGAGAGTGATCCAAACCAGTACTGTCGAAGAGCAAATTTGAGTGTTCGGGGTTACCATTAACACCATCAAAGGAAGTCTTTGCATTTCCCAAGGCCTTGTGGTTTTGTTTTCTAAAATTTCAAGTTTCAAAAAAAGATTCTCAGTTTCAAGTCACCTATTCTTTCAAACAAGATGCCCTCGCCCCACTCCACCATTGTATTTGCACATCTGAGTTTGGTTTGAGTTGTTCTACCATCTGTTTTCATGGTGCAAACAAGATGAATTTAAATAGTGCTCTTTTTATTCCAGGCTGTCTGTGATTTGCTCCATCAGGATCCTGTTACTGATCAAGCTCCAATGAGATAACAAGCAAATCATTTCCACCTTACTGTGTAGCTTAGAAATCTATATGTCTGGGTTTACACTCCTGGAATTTCTGCTCCTTGGCTAGTGTCTCTACCATAGCCTGTATGAAATTAAATGAATAGATCCCTGTTTAAAGTGTGACATTTTCCCAGTTCAGCCACAACCGTTACGCACACTCTCTAAAAATCAAGATGCGTACACATCACCCTTAAAAAGCCCCTATTAGTACAGCAAAACAGCATTTCCTAAAATGCATTCGAGTTGATCACCATCCCAGCTGAGTCCAATAGCAAGAATCAGAATTTACATTAATTTCTAAATTCACTGAAAGGGTTATACCATTTTCTGTAAGTTTGTTCTCAGTTATTTCTATATACATTATTAAGCTTGTCTTGACCCTGGCAAAATGTACCTGGTTTATCTGACCAGTTAACAATCTTAGATTGATTGTAGTCATTAAAAACTCATGCTGTCAAAGGCAAAAAAAAATGGTAGAGCCTCCTTGGTGAAGGAGGAGGAAAATTCCAGTGCTTTTTCTATCACATGCAGCAATTTCCCACCCCTGGCAATTAGTACAAGTCACTTAGCTGCTTTTAACATTTCTAATTATTTTCCCACCCTCTCTTGCTGTGAGGATTCTTCATTTTTTTAAAGTCTTTTCCCTTTTCTGAGAATAAAAGAGTTGCCCTGTAAATAATCTTTTAAGCACAAGTAAGGATTCTAAGTGCTCTGAGAATTGTCAAGTCTTCTGAATACCTGTGCAGAGAAATACAATGTGTCATATAACAAGTAGCAGAGAAGAAACAAACCTACTTGATGTTTTCACATTGGACAATATCCTGACAAGGATACAATGCACCAAACACATGTAAAAATTGAAATAAATAATGCTACTCCTGAGCTAACTCCTTGAAGCCTGCTTCCCTTGTAACCACAGTGTCCTTGCTCAAATGAGAGGCTTTGAGGCTTCATTGACCAGGAAACCAACTACTCTAGTCTTCTGAAGCTAAAGCATAAATATGAGAGATGCTTTTCCCAGGCACCCAGTAATTACATAACATGAATTATAGCTGTGAGGTGAACAAAGTCTATAGACAATGCCCTGTTTTAGGAAAGCCATTATTATCAGGCAAACCCAAACCAAACAAGCAAAAACCCTTTCAGTCATGAGGAAGAGTAATATCATCAGGACTCTGGAGTTATGAGTATCTGTTCACATTGAAACGTGAGTTTTCTATTCAAAGCCTTTATACTAAGGAGTTCATGCCTTCATTGACACATAGGCCAAAAGATGATTTTTATTTATGTATTTGAAGTTCTTTCCGCTGCCATAAAAATAAATCTTGTCAGCTATTTCATGGAACAAAAAGAAGACAAAGGCAAGGAGTTGGAGTATTGGGGAGAGGAAGAGGAGGGCAAAGAAGATGGGCATTCCATTAAGCATGTTTCTTAGAGTCATAAATGAAAACCAGATCAGCTGGCTCTGAAGTGCATTAATAGAGCTGAAAGGAAGACATCATCAGAATTATGATCGTGGTGAGGAAGGGAACTATTTTTATTCTCAGATTTCGCTTTCCTGTGCCCTCTCTGCTTTCTACAAGTAGAGGTCTTGTGGCATGTTGGAATGAGAGAACACTTTTCTGCCTCGCTATTAAGATACTAACGTTTTCCTCGTTCTGTGTTGGCAGATGCTGTCCTTGCAAGCCAGGATATCCGCCTGGTTGGACGGCTTGCAATACTGACTCTGAATTCATCTTTCCCCTTCTGCAGCGTTGGGGCTGGATAGTGAGATTGGAAACTTTGAAGTGGGCAAGGAATTTGATGCTCTTCTGATCAACCCCAAGGCTTCTGACTCTCCTATTGACGTCTTTTATGGGGAGTTTGTAGGTGATATTTCCGAGGTAAGTCAAAGAAGCCATGAATAGCTTCCCTGAAGCTGAATGAGTTCAATGGAATGCATCAGAATCTGAAATAGATTTGGTCATTATCATCCCATGACAGCAATATGAAGAATACTTGTATTAATAGCATCTATTTTTAATGCATTTTGTGTATTTGAATGTATCTGTCTAATCAGTCACAATATAGCTAGCCCCTGTTGAACACTTGATATATGTGCTAAATGGATGTGAGCTTACACACTTTCTTATGTGATTTTGTTTAATTATAAGAACAACTCCAAGGGCCAGGCACCAATGGCTCACGCCTGTAATCCTAGCTAGTCAGGAGGCTGAGATCTGAGGATCAAGGTTCAAAGCCAGCCCGGGCAGGAAAGACCATGAGACTCTTATTTCCAATAAACCACTCAGAAAACTGGAAGTGGTGCTGTGACTCAAGTGGTAGAGCGCTCACCTTGAGCTGAAGAGCTGAGGGACAGTGCCCAGGTCCAGAGTTCAAGCCCCATGACCAACAACAACAACAAAAAGAACAACCCCAAGAGAGATTAAAAACTATTAATAACATTGTGTTCATATATTAGTTTCAAACCCTAAATTTTCTAACTGCCAGAGGCTAGTCACTTGATCTTACGCTATTAAGAAAGTTAATTTTGTTTCTTGTATTATAAAATCTTTTCTGAGTCAGAAGGGTGGTGTGTGACTGAATTCCCAGTACTAGAGAAAGGGGCATCATGAGTTTCAAGCCAGTCTGTCATACATAAAGACTGTCTCCAAGAACCAAGCATGGAGGATATATGAATACATATATACCTATCTACACACAGAGTTGTGAATAAAATGAACCAATACATTAATAATGATTATACACTAATAATGATTAAGATATTTTTAAGAATTAATGTATAAATTAATATGCTTATGAAAGTAAATGTGCTACTTTTAAGTGAAAAATGCTAGATTCTTGAAGTTATTGTACGGTAGTGAAAAAGTTTTCCTCTACCACCTGGGGTTCAAGACTGAGGAAAAAATTACATATATTTATTTATTGTAATGTTCACTGTCCCTGAGCTTCTGCTCAAGACTACCACTTGAGCCACAGTGCCACTTTTGGCTTTTTCTGTTTATGTGGTACCGAGGAATCGAACCCACTAGAATGCTAGACAAGCACTCTGCCACTAAGCCACATTCCCAGCCCTCATCCTTTTCTTGTAAACCTTATTAGTATGAACTTTTTATACTAGGGAATAATGCCATTCTTATAGTCCTTCTTTTACTTATGTGAAATACTGGAAGAACTTTATTAGATTGATTTCTTTACATAGTTCTGTCCCTCTGAAGAGTTCAAAGTTGTATACCCAGAACTTTTTAGTTTGAGGTAAACATTTATTAATAACTAGTAGGTTATCTTTGGTTGTTGTTGTTTGTTTTTGTTTTCTTTTGAAGACACTATTTATTTTTTACTTAACAGAAGTAGAAGTTTTGCCATTGAAAAATAAATTTATTCCTGAACTTTGCCAACCCCTATTCCCTGTGAATTTCTTTTCTAAATATACTAATCATTATTTCTTACTACCTTTACTTTCCATTGTAGGCCATTATCCAGAAGTTTCTCTATCTCGGTAGGTAAACAGACACCTCTGTGTTAAATAAAATCGTTGTCTTTTTCTTGGGCATAGTTTTCTGTATGTCTATAGTGTATTGAGCTTTATGGTTGTTGATCTGCTTTGATTCATTATTTTAGCAGTTCTCAAATTCAGGCCTGCTTATGGCACGATATTCAAAGGTAATCTTTGAAAAATGCACATGACCCTTAAAGTATATACTCATAAATCTCAAGCTGAGATATGAAGGGCAGAAGAGAAGAGAACTTCGGGTCTCACCCCCTTCTTCTTATTCTGTACCCCACCTTCGCCCTGCCCTGTAAGTACACAGTGGATAGCAAAGGCATTTCCAACAACTGCCTTCAATTCTGCCCCCTTCCAGAGAGAAACAGTAGGCAATGGAGAAGATTTTTCCCTCCCTCCTTTCAGTTAGTGAGTTCAGGGCTGAGTGACGGTGAGATGGAGAGATGATCTTCTATGCTGAATAGGATTCTGGAAAGGAAAACTTAACAAAACTCCTTTTCCAACTGGGCTAGAAAGGTAAGCCAGTCTCTTTCATTGAAAGGACAGGCCCAGAAGGTCAGTGGATTTCCCCCATAGGTAAAGAATTCAGACCCTGATCTTCAAGTGGACTATTGATCATATCATCCTGATCTGATTGCAAACCACTTGAGATGAGAGAGAGAAAGAGAGAGAGAGAGAGAGAGAGAGAGAGAGAGAGAGACTAGCTCTTTTCTTGGGTTTCCTCTCTTGGAAGTATTTTGTTTTGAATCCTAATCAGTGACAATTAATGATTGACCCCACACACACATACACATAGCACTTTATAAATGATTCTTTGGGTTTTCTTTCAGGAGATGATCGAAATATTGAAGAGGTTTATGTGGGCGGAAAGCAAGTGGTTCCATTTTCCAGCTCGGTGTAAGACGCTGGAGCATCTACGAATTTCTCCTGGGATAAAATGAGTCTTCATCTCCGTGTTCCAGGCTCGGTTAGAAAGGCGCAGCAGTACCTTGTTCTTGGATGACTCTTTCTGTGTCTACAGTATTCGCTTGGTAAATTGTTAGAAGGCAATGCACTGATTCCCCTCTCTGACTGGGAGCTTTCATAGTCTTATGAAAATGTCTCCCTTTTGAGCTGTTCAGCTTGACTTTCAGCTCAAAGGAAAGATATTGCTAATGGTGTGTTTATTGTAATCTCAAAATAAATCTTTTCCATTGAGGGAGATGGTAAAAGGAAAAGATATTCCTATTTGATTAGATACGTTGAGCTATTAAGTGTAAAACTTAGGGAACTGAATATGAATCAGAGAGTATATTTTTCATGAGCAATGAGGAGTTAGACTGTGAACAAACCTTGGAAAATCATTTCAGATTGCTTGAAAATTATATACAGAGCATACTCATTTCAAAGAGATTTTACTGGTTTTAAAAATGTGTTTCTAGATTGACTTTGTGTTTTTGGAAATCTGCACCTAATGCAATTTGCATTTCAGAGACGTGTTCTTGTTAAGCTGGGTCATCTTTTGGGGTGGATCTCAGAAACTGAATGCCACATGTTGTTTTTAAAAATATATATATATATATAGTTCTGTGCTTCAAAGTGTTTGACGAAAGTTGAGTATAAAAGGTTCAAAGTCTCTTAGGGATATTATTCATAAAACTATATGTTATAAATAGTTGTATCTTGGTGTACTTTAAAAGTGTCTTAATATGAAAGCGTGTGATGTTATAACTGCTTCCATCTTATTAGAAGAGAAACAAATTCTATTCTCTGTTGCTATGTAGATTTGTCTTCATTAACCACGAGTACTGGGCACCCAGGACTGGTCCAAACAGGACAGATTCCTTTGCAATGGTCTATTCTAACCAGAACAACACCCTAGTTGCTGGAAATGTTATGCTAATGTATCAACCTGATACATTAACATTACGTTGATGAATCAACTTTAAAATGTAGGACAAATCTTCTTAAATGTTATTTAAAACTCTTTAGAATCTATATATACAAAGCACTCTATTTTTCAATTTTATTTAACTGTCTTTTCAATTTTTATTATTTTCCCCATAAATTAGAATTTCAGGATAATAAAAATTGTGTAGTCCCTTACTGTTTACATTAACAGAACTTACACATTAACTGTAGCGGACATTTGGAAACATTAAGCAAATTAAAGGGGATTTTAGGCATCCTAATTAACTACTATAGTGTTCTTTTTTTGTAACCGAGAAGGATGAATTAATGATAAATCCTTAGAAAGTATTGATGTGATTCTCATCTGAATCTTATAATTTTCTGATTCTTTTTCAAATACTAGAAACCAAAAAGGAGGGAGAATAGATTTTCGTAATATATCATAGCATTCCTACATTTTAGGTATAACTCTTTAATTTTACCATGTAATGGAAAACTTTACTACTAATTCCATATTTGCAGAACTAAAAACATTATTTTTCTCTCTTCTGGAATATAAGTGTTATTTGCATGTACTTGTGCTAATTCGGCAGCCATTTGCCCAGGTACTTTTTCCTAATAAAAACACTTTTAGATTTGAAAATATAAAAGCTACATCTAAAGACAGGAATTGTTTTGTAGTCTTTTAAAAACACTAGCATAACAGCTTGTTTTGTAGAAGCTTAAGTCACTGAGCACATCCAATTTCTACTCTCAGTCTGTATTTCTAGTTTCAGAACCATGTCACATTTATCTACCACATTTCTCCTCATTTCTTTACAGTGCTAGTGATTTCTGCTCTATCTTTTGACTTCTGCCAAAAACACTTGGGTACAGTGTCTTAGCCCTTACCATATATCTTAGCCGTAACCCCCAGACTTAGCAGCTTTTAGATACTGTATATGGGAAGTGGAACTGGGGCTCAAAGTGCTAGGGTGCTAACTTTGAGCATAAAAGCTCAGGACAGCAACCAGACTCTGAGTGCAAGCCCCATGACCATCCAACAAACAACAACGATGAAGTAATAGATACGCTATGTGGGAACTGCAAAGTCAATAGCTATTTCCAGCTTTTGCAAGTTTCTACACTTGTCCCTGCATTCATGTTGTTGTTCAACCTCCGTGTTCATTAGGTTTAGAATTCACATGTGGTAATAAAAGTAAGTGTCGTATCAGAAATAGGGATGTGGTCATCTACCACCACTGTGTCCACCGTTCAGTTTAGCCGTGATAGTATGCTAATGGCTGAATAACCTTTCGCATAAAAATAGAGTGTGTTGAGATGTTTACATGTACTTGGACCTCTCTGAGTCCCTTATAACTTAGCGTGTTTTCTTTGCCCAGGCTCAGTGTTCCAGTACGTTGCACAGGCTTTTAGTACTACAGGCATTTGCCATACATAGGCCAGATGTTCTGCACTTTGAAATGTTGCCTTTGTCTAACGTACTTTCTGAATTGTGGAGAGGCGCTATGCTAAGCCAAATCTATTTGTCACTTGATGTTTCTGTGGTTTGCTCTCTGACACAAAAGAATTAAAATCTTATCAGTTCATCATCCTTCCCTCATACCTTTTGCCTCATTTCTCTGGTATTTTCCTCTAGATACATTTTTTTTCTTTCTTTCTTTGTTTTTTTGTTTTTGCCAGTCTTGGGGCTTGAACTCAGGTCCTGGGCTCTGTACCTGAGTCTCTCTGTGCTCTAGACTAGCGCTCTACCACTTGAGCCACCATGGCCACTGCTGGCTTTTTCTGAGTAGTTTATTGGAACTAAGAGTCTCTCGGACTTTCCTGCACAGGCTGGCTTCAAACCGGGATCCTCAGATCTCAGCCTCCAGAATAGCTAGGATTATAGGCGTGAGCCACGGGCGCCCAGCTTTCTAGCTATATTTTAAAAGATACAAAATATTCAAAAATACCTATTGTGCATTTACAACGTAGAGGGAGACATGGACAATAGAGGATAAGGATGTAAGAGATCATTCTGGGCATTTGTGGAGACCAAGGAGCTCTTTATATACTTCCAGCTGCATCTCCAATTGAGACTGTCAAAGGTTTAGAATCCAAGAAGATATTTTGGATCACTTCTTGTCAATGGTGGGGGGGGGTGCTTCCTAAATTAATGCTGCTAGCAAGCAGACCCATTCAATCTCTTTTCTAACTTCAGTGAAAAGGAAATGGTAGAAAAATCTCCCTATACTTGGCTGATTTTGAAGTGTGCCCTTTGAATACTCATGTTGGCAACTGCTATGAAATCTTAGAGGATACAAAATGAGAGTGAAATCTAGCCGTGTGTTTTGAATCTTCACTTTTTTATCAGCCTTTGCCTATTTTTATGCTTCTTTTTTTCACTCTGGAACCAGACCTATGGAAAGCTTTAAAGACAAGCTGGAAGGCATGTTTTTCCAATCCTACCTTGTGGTATCTACCTGGATAATACCCCAAATCAGATGCTTCAGAAGCTATTGGACATTTTTTCAAAGTTGTGCATGTTATTAAGCTAATACTTTTTTGCAGGAAACCTTCACTTGTTTAAAAAGAAGGCCCTAAAGTTATTCAGAGGTAATCTATTGTTAAGTTGTAGCGATAAGAATTTTAAGTTATTTTTTAAAAGACCTAAAGGAGCAGTTCACAATCTCAGATCTGCTAGTTGCTTTAGGTATGACTTTTGACCTGATACTTTGTGAACGTCTCTAAAGGAGTTAAAGAAGCACACAAATGAAAGACATTAAACAAGTGTTGGGGACCTGGAATGAAGAGCACTGATTTGTTGAATGTACTGGACAAAGTACAGAAATGGCAGGACAAAGGGTGAACTAATTCAGCAGTGATACTCCCTAGACACTATGTTAAAAATGAACTAGACAACTTGTGGGGGAGAAAGGTCGGGAGGGAAAAGACTGGGAGAAAATGAGGAAGAGATGACACAGTTCAAAAAGAAATGTAATCATTACCTGACTTACATAACTGTACCCACCCCCTCTGTACATCACCTTTAATATATATATATATGTATATATATATATGATACTGATAGATGCTGCTGACATTGGACACCATGAATATTTCATACACTTCCCTTTCCTTCCAACAGTCTTGAGCATGAGGTGGAGAATGCAAGAGTTAGTTTGTGGGTCAAGTCTGAACTTAGTAAAACACAAGTCAAACTGGCCAATAATGAAATAAAATATAATTGTCAAAGGACCTTTCACCGGCCTTAGGGCTTAAGTGACCTGAATAAAAGATGTCATTCTTAATTTTTCTGTTCTAGAAAAGTGATTTTTCTGTCCATTCTTACCCAAAAGCCTGTCAGAAAGCATTCTTTAGTGAAAACCACCTTATACTGTTGTTGAAATTCTTATTGCTGCTTTTAAGAATGTGTGTGTGTGTGTGTGTGTGTGTGTGTTGTAGTCATGGGAACATTTCGCTCTCAGTATTTGTATAGTTTGCTTCTTGTTATTATGCTAATTGATCTTCTTTGTGCTTCAGAAAAAATAAATGGGGTTTGTGTTCACATTATTTTTTACATTGTGAATTTTCTTCGGTGTCACTGTGAATTCTATGTCTGTTAGAAGGAACATGAGTCTTTAATGTTTTTCTCTTTTTAGCATGCTTTAGTAAAAAAAAAATAAGAATATTTAGTTGTGGACAACATTCATTTTCCATCCTATAATAGTTAGGCATAGCTTTTTAAAATTAAGCTATAAGGTTCATCCATTTAGGACCAGATTGCTATTGCTTTTGATTTCTCCTGCTTTTAAAGCAACAGCTTAGACTAAGAAGTGCTTTTTCTTCAAGCATCCATTCACAGGGACACAGAAGAGACAGTTTGAAGAGCGAAATTTGCAGCTACCAGTGCCTACATGTTTAAAAATCTGGGAGATCTCAACTAAATAATCTAGTGGTACATCTAAGTTCTTAGAGAAAGAAGAACAAACCAAACCCCAACAGATAGGAGGAAAAAATGGAAGATGAAAATTAGTACTGAAATTAATGAAATAAAAGCTAAAGAAACAACACAAAGGATCGATTTTTTTAAAGTTGGTTTCTCACTTTCCCTGAACACATCCTATGTATGATTTTTCAACACTATTGTATTTTCTCTATTCTTTAGTTCTAACACAAAACAGACA